GTGGGAACTTCGTAGTGACGGATAACGGACCACAGTTTTCAGGCTTCGTCTCTCTACCATGACGCATTAGCATCTGCAAGGAGAATTTGGCAGAGGATGGACATTTACATCGCCACAACGTTCGGAGGACACCTCACATGACTGGACCCAGCAACGTCAGCGGATAGCCAATAGCTGCAGGACATGGGGTTGACTCGCCTTGCTTGGTACCTAGTACACCATGCCTTCACGATGTATCTCACATGCCCACATCGATAATTGACTTGCGTATAATCACACCTACACCATTTCGGATTTCAGCATTTCTCTTTGAAGACCAGTGTCGAATTCCAAGATAGGTCTGAGGGCCCTTCATGTAGCAATGTTTACTGTTTGCTCTGCAACGCGTTTGATCATTCAAGCCAAGGTACTGAAAGGTGGAAATCGCTCCGAAAGGGTGCATACATTCTTTCAAGCTTTTCGAGCTTCGGAGGATATCTTCAAGTGAAAGGCCAGGTCGTCAATTGGGGTCAGGTAGTAGGCAGGAACCGGCTCTAAGTAGTACCGGGTAGCGGCCTCTCAGTCACTTCTATAGGGCCCGAGAGACATTATGATTATCCGCAAGAATGGCCCGAGGTCAGGGCATTGGCCATGTTTGATCCAACTGAACTGCGCTTGGGACGAGCCAGATAGCTGACCGGGGCACGCGACGACAGGTACAATCCTGGTCCCCACAACAACGCATCCTGTGGTCCAGGTGATGCTACACATCGTGCAACGATGGTCGGAGGCTGTTGGATGAGAGGAGTGGAGTAGGTTCTGCGTGGGGAGTGAGTGAGGAGGGAAGGTGTTCGATTCTGAGAGACTTGGAAGGAATCAGGGAAAGTGACACCTGCCACCGGGTGCTCCCGTGGGTCGGTCAATGCCTCCGGCGAGTTAAAGATTGCGGATGACGTGACGAGGCTCTGTATGGGAGCGCTGGGCATGGGGTGAGAACCCTCCTGTTACAGATCCTTCCGCCAACATTGTTCTCCTTTCCAGATCTTCCGTGCACGATGACGGGCTCTCTGCCTTCCTTAGGGCATAATGCCTCAAACCCAGTCTTTCAGAGATCAAGTGACTGCCTCGAACGGCAACATGCATAATCCCGTGCTTCTGGAACGTGGGAAACCCCACGAAGATCGGTTATATACGGTGCTACACGTGCGGTGTTTCCACGTACACATGCCGGTCGTGGGGGCACTCTAACGATGTTAGCATGCTGTCACTGGAGACCGCGGCTTCCAACTTCTCCATCTTCAGAGCCCGAGCGAGTGGTCGTGGGAGTTGACAGGCTCGGCTTGCGCGCCAGGGTTGGTCTGATTCGCCAGATAGTCAGTCACACAGAACCTTACGTCTCCACATTGTGATCAGCATTCGTGCATGATCCTTTACCGTGGTGCCATTCCGGGGGAATTGACGTGGCAATGGGACACGAGCACAGTAAGTTGAGTTGAACCCGGTACTTGTTCGGGCTGTCGGTATTCTCTCCCATCTTTCGCCCGGGAAGTGGGCTGGACATCGTCATTTCAGAGGCCCGAGCAGACTTCCGATGCCTCACCCGAGGTCATGAGCCCTTGACGGGCATGGAGCACGGCGACGCCATCTCCAGTCAATGGCCACATTCGTCATCGGAGAGCAAGTATCAACGACTCTGCGGGCTGGATAACGCGACAACATTGGAAATGCTTGCGTCAAGAGCAACAGTGAAGCATTGCAAAGGGGGTACTATATATCCAATAATATACACACAAATGCTAAAGATGTCTACTGAAACAGGGGATCTGGGAGCAGCTACAGTCGGTCAATTGCTTCGAGTGCTATGTTCGGACTCGAGCCATCCTCTGGACATCTCGACGGCTCGTTCCCACCTCTCAAACATCTTTTTACTTGCCTCTTTGGACATCTGCGGCTTGAATATCGTGTGGTCCTCGCTGTTGATCTCTTTCAGCTCTTCGAATTCCTTCCAGACGTCTACAGCGAAGCCAGCTGCAATGGCAGCACCGAGTGATGTCGTCTCGCGCATAGCGGGCCGGTCAACGGGTATACCTATGAGATCTGCCTGTGTCTGCAGTGGTTGAGCCGCGACGTCAGTATGTCAGGGTGGAAACAGCAGGAAGCTACGAACCTGCATACAAAGATCGGAATTGCTCATACCGCCATCCACTTTCAGTTCGCTTAATTTGTGGCCGCTGTCTTTTTTCATTGCATCAAGGATGGCCTTGGTCTGGAAGCAGGTAGCTTCCATCGTCGCCCGGGCAATGTGGCCTTTCTCGGTATGCTGGGTGATGCCGAATATGGTCCCCTTGGCATCATCAATCCAATATGGTGCAAAGAGCCCACTGAAAGCAGTGACGAACACACAGCCTCCATTATCCTTGACGGTTGCCGCTAGATCATTAATGTGATGGGACGCTTCGATAAAATTAAAATTGTTGCGGAGGAATTGGACTGCGCTTCCAGCGACGGCAATGCTGCCCTCCAGAGCATACACTGGTTTCCTTTCCCTACCAAAATGGTAGGCCACGGTTGCCAGCAAACCATGAGTAGACATAACCGGCTTCTCACCGACATTGTAAAGCAGAAAACAGCCGGTGCCGTACGTGTTCTTTGCCTTGCCAGGAGAAAATCCAAGCTGGCCGACAAGAGCGGCAGACTGATCGCCAAGACAGCCAGTGATCTTAATTCCTTTCAGTGATCCGGAGGCTATGGAGCCAAAAGCATTGGCGTCGGACGACGGTACTATCTTCGGTAGCTTCATTTTCTTGGGATTAATATCGAAGAAGTCCAACACAGTCTGGTCGTATTCCAAAGTGTGTAGATTTACAAACATCGTTCTTGACGCATTGGTCACATCGGTGACATGGACATTCTTTTCCTTCCCGTTCAAGTTGTACAGCAACCATGAATCGATGGTGCCAAACACCAGTCGGCCTGCTTTATATACCTTGCGTACTGTTTCCACATTGCGGAACATCCACGTGAGCTTGAGTGATGATGGATAGGTTGAGAGAGGTAGTCCACAAATGTCTTGAAGCTTATCAGCGCCGTGACGTTGCTTGAGCTCCCGAACGATAGCTTGGGTTCTTGTGTCTGGCCATGCGATAGCGTTATAAACTGTATCTCCTGTCTCCTCGTCCCAAAGCACTGTCGTTTCTCGTTGGGTGGAGAGGCCGATAGCTTTGATGTCCGAGATCGAGTGGCCCTTTGCCGTGAAGTCTTTCGTAGCTTCTTCGATGCAAGTGTTGACGGACTCGACGATCTCGACAGGATCATGCTCGATCCATCTGCGTAGCGGTCAATGCTGTCACTGCGCTGGTAGTGACGTTGGTGTGGTTGTACCGACCCTGAGTGTGGGTACATCTGTTTGAACTCCATTTGATGAGAAGCTATTGGACTTCCCGTGCTGTCAAAGATGAGGAAGCGCGTGCTCGTTGTTCCTTGATCGATTGAACCGATGAACCATCGCTTGGGATTCTTCTCGTCTTGTATGGAGACTTGTGCATCTTTGCTGTCTTTCGAGACATTGCCAGGCTTGGGAGTACTTGTAGGCTCAGTCATGGTGCCGTGTAGACAGCAATAGGAAGGAGATTGCCTGGGGCGTTGTGTGCTGGGGAACTGCTGGGAGAAGGTAGAAGGAGACGTTGAGGGAAATGATTGTGGAAGGGAAGTAGAGAAGACAAGGCTAAGAGAAGAATCGATTACAGAGACAGCTGTAAGTACTCAGTGCCGGTAAAACATTTTATTAGTTGTAGAGTTGTAGAGCGAAGAGTTGGCAGTCCCGTTGGCAGTAACTCAGCAACAGAGTACTATACCCCGCAGACGAAGTACTCGTATTTTCCTCCGCCCGCCTTGTTTTGTTTTTTCTTTTTCCTTGGGTGGGGCCCTCTACGGCGGACGAGGGCTGACACTACGACAAAACCAAAACCAATTTTTTTTTCTTTAATTTTTTTTTCTTCCCGCGACTTTGAAAAAATATTTGAAGAGACTTCTTTAAGTTAGGGGATTCTTTATAGGGTACTCGAGAAGGATTTAAGGAATTATTCGAGGGTATACTTTCGGAGGTACTCGAGAAGAGTATTTTAGAGAGCACTTAGAGGGTTACTCGAGGGGTCTCTTAAAGATTTACTCTCGAAGTGCGAATAAAGAATTCGCGGGAAGTTCCGCGGAAAGTCCCGTAAATATATATATATATATATTTTTTTTGCGAAGAACTTCATAAAATATTGTACCCGGAAGAGTACCCGGAAGAGTACCCGAGAGAGTACCCCGGAGAGTACCTCGAAGAGTACCCGGAAGAATACCCCGGAGAGTACCCGAGAGAGTACCCGGAGAGTACCTCGAAGAGTACCCGGAAGAATACCCCGGAGAGTACCCCGGAGAGTACCCCGGAGAGTACCTCGAAGAGTCCCCGGAAGAATACCCCGGAGAGTACCCCGAAGAGTACCCCGGAGAGTACCCCGGAGAGTAGCCCCGAAAAGAATGCCTCAAAAAGTACCTCTCGAAGAGTTGAGAACTAGAAATCGCGAAGAAAAAAACGATAAGAGAATTTTTTTTTGGTTTTGTCGTAGTGTCAGCCGTCGTCCGCCGTACCCTCGGACCTTCATCCGCCCATGGCGGAACCGAACCCCGCCAAAAACAGCTCCACCTACCACTCACATTCCTTCAACTTTAGTATGTAAATCGAATAGGAAAGAGCTCACGTTCGGAGTGGATTCTGTTGTATTCATGCTGACAATCATACTGAAGGCGCTCCTTGATCCCTGATGATACCATTATCATGTCCATCGCAATGCCATAATAGACAATCGCTCATGCCTCCTGTAACCAATGCACGCAAGCTGTAATGCACATACTGAGAACACCACCCTCGATCTAGTGTATCCGTGCGAACAGAAACACCATACGCTATGCTCTATACCAGGAGATGAGGCCCGCTGAGACGAGGAGACCACGCACTCGACCATTCCTAAACCAACCATCTATGCAAAGTAGCTCTTCCACAGAACCCCGTCCAGATCTTCCGCCTGCTCCTGCGAAAACGCCTAAATCAAGTCGTTAGCAATCTTCCTCACGAATGGTCTTTCACAGAACCTTACCGTTAGATCCATCTGCCACGTATCTTGTCTCGTCTTCTTGAAATCACTCAAGATGCTTTTCACGCTCTTGCCCACCATCCCAGGATCGTTGTTGGCCTTGTTTGCGAGCGTCGTCAGAACACCCGGGATCCACGACGGCGGTGGTGATGCGTAGGGAAACGCTTGCACAAGAGCTCCAAGGCCCAGTACAGATGCATGTCGAGTCAATACAAGCTTACTCTGCTCAGGCGTTGGCGTGCTTGTCCCCGTACTTGGTTCCGAAAAAGCGTTCCTAGGCTTCTTGGGCAGCGGAGAGTTGAGAAGCATCTTCGAAAACTTCTTATTGAATACTTGCACAACCTTAGAGCGTAGTGCCACGGGTGAACATCGAATCATGCCTGACAGCGTAGTTGAGGCTCCAAGGCGTACCTCGAGTTGACTGTCTTCCAGCATAGTGGCCACGCAGTCAAGAAGACGCTGTTGATGTTCGGGAGAGATGAGGAAGAGACGGCGGAAGTAGATGACCTGCATGTTGATGAGAACCCGAAGGCGCTGATGCCACAGAGGTGATGCTGTTCCGATTCGTATAAGCGCATCAATCAACTCTGCATCTTCTCCAATGCGGTGAGGTATGTTTGGAATGTGCCGGAAGACGTGATAGGCAAGACCCTGTAGTTCTTGGTCTTCGCGGACGTCCATCATGTAGAGCAATTGCTCCATGAATACATTCGGGAAGAATTGCAGAAGCTGAGTGCATTCAAAAGATGACAATGTCATATCGAGCCACAGCAAGACAGTCTTACCGCCCGAAGTATATGGAGAGGGCGTTTGTTGGCCTGGTGTGCGCTCCTGCCTCCATTTTTCCAGTCGTTCAAAAACCTCGTGGATAGTCTTTACAAACTCCTGGGTGGGCTGGTATGGTCTTATGCCTAATGAAGAGGCCTCTTTCTGACTCTCGATTAATGTAGGCACATCCTTGTATGACTCGTGATAGCGTGTGCGATACAGGATTGACAACGAGTGACCCATGGCTTCACGGACTCCCTTGTATGGATGATCAAGATGCAGAAGAAAATCTTCGATGATTGGCTTGTCGAGCTGGAAGTGCCAGCCCAAGTTGTTTACACATGTTTGCAATAATTTTATTTTCGAGCTTTCCTTGAATGCGGCATTAGACTCCATATCCAACCTAAAGGACGCAAGCCAATCAATGAGGGGCCAAGAACGCCGAGGATCTTTGCCCTGTGTGAGTATTTGCAGGAACGTGTTCCAGTATGTGAGATTCTCTGGAGTCAAGCCGTCGGAAAACGCCTGTTGAACCATAGGGTAAACGTACTGCCAGATCTCTGTACGCATTTCGAGCGGTTTATCGACCGTCGATAGAAGCAACGCCGCCAATATTTCGGCGGTGGCACGGTGCTGATGTTTGTCAGATCCATCAGTCCAGATCCTCCGGATTTCTTCTTTGATCTCAAGGAAGTTTGTACTTGTCCGACCAGAGTACATGAGGTCAAAGGCGTAACCGAGCAGCATAACATTGGAGACGTGGAACCGATCGGCTGCAGTATCACGCGGTTCTTGTCTCAGGTATCCGAAGAATGACGAGAACCACGACCGATCTAATATCTGCCCTATCTGTGTACGAGCAGTTTCCTCGGCGTCATCATACTCCAGATCGGTCTTGGGATTCGTCTGATATGCAGGCATAGTCTTGTTCCAGGCTAGCCAGCCTGGATGATCGTGGTCAACGTAGTATTCCGCGTCTGCTTTAGCGAAGCTTGCAAGGTATTCTGACGTCCAAGTTGGATCATCTTGACGGGTAGTGACTTGCACTTTGGCCGGAAGGCGTTGCTTGTCCAAAAGATAGTCCTCATAGCTATGATTTGCAGCTGCCCGAGAGTCGATAAGAGTGAAAATGGCGACAATGGCTCCTTGGTACAGTGCTCTAAGCCCAGGATGCGAGTCAATCGATCCTCGGGCAACAAGGTCGATCATGTTTTTGGACGCAATACCGTCGAACCTGAGACCTAAAGTAATCACAATAACAGCAGTGCGACTTGCCTTCTTCCAGTGCGATTTTCTGGCCATATCAACAAGCTCCTCTGACAAGGCCGCTTTCTTGCGTTCGATTCGAGAACGTTTGGCTGAAAGCTTGGCTCTCTTTCTGTCAATAATACCTTGGACGTTGTCGTTATTTGGCGCGATAGCCCGCACCAGTTCCCTTTCTAGAATCACCATTCGCTCCTGTGGTTTCCCCATTTCCATGATCTGCATAGTTACAACGGCACAAAGTTTTTGAATAGAGGGTTTGTCTGCTGTGCTGGCAGAGATGTAAGTCTTGATTAGCGTTGGGGCGTACCTCCAGTCTCGAGCAATGGTCTTGTTCAGGGAGCCGAAGAACAACGAATACATAGAACCTTTTATACGGGCAAAGTCATTGTCCTTGACACCGCTCTCCATGGCAGAAAGAAGTGGAGGTATTACTAAGGATCGCGCTCCATTGACGGCTTTCAAAGCGGCTTCCGCCGCACTCTGCGCATGTCTACGAACGTCTCGGTAAGCAGACACAGACGATTGTGCAAGGTCGATAAAGAGCTGCTTTGATAAATCGGTCTTCGGGCGTGGGTAGGAGTTGTGACGCAGTCGCTGTAAATGATATACGTTGGCCCTCCGAAGGAGTATAGGCCTGGGGTACTCTTTTCGCAACCCGCTGACTTTGTAGGGTTGACTGTCGGCAGAGAGAAGTCTTGTCACCCTGTCAAGGACATGGGCGGATCTCTCAATCCCAACGTCAACGAACCACGACCGATAGGCATTGCATAGAGGCTCAAAGCAAGCCACGTCATCTTCCTGTTTCTCAACAAGAAACTGATGGACTTCGTGCAGTACTTGCCCCGTCCTCTCCCTGAAAGCGTGAAGCTCTTGGTAGAGGTCATCGTCCTCTTCGAGTAAATAGCCAGACGCATAGGTGAACGTGGGCTTAACTTCATCCTCATCTGAGCTCTCAAGATATGGATCAGAGTCCTCATCATGCTGATCTTCCGAAGACTCGGCCTCAGCATCGACCATCTCAGTGTCTGCACTCGCCTCTGATTCTGATTGGGGGGTAGTTATCTTGGAATCGAGCTTCGCGTCGAAGAGAACAGAGACGCCTGACAACAGCAGTCGAAGAAGCACAAGGTTGCGAGAAACTTCGTCGGACCATTCCTTGCCTACACCGTCTCGCTTGATGCTCGAGGTCCCAGAAGTGAGAGCCCGTAACTGTTCTAAAGCGTTCTCTCCCTGAGCTTTCAGCAAGTCAACAGCAAATTGAATCTCGTCCTTGTTAGGCACATGCCATTTGATGTTGAGGTTCTGAGGATCCGGAGTCGTTCCCCAGTCTGCAGGTCCGATCCCTCTGGCAAGTACTTCTTGCTCGTATAGCGAGTAGTCTACAGTATAGATACCAGTGAGATTAAGTAACAGATGATGAATGAAGTTCGAGATGTGGGTGGTTGGGAGACCTTTACATTTCTGCTGCGTATATGCGGCAATGTCGAATAGCTCTTGTCTATGTTGGAGTACGGCGTCGCCAACATGTACAACAGACATACTAAGCATACTGACACTCCACACAAGTCCTCGGTCCCTAGGCAGGACATCGGTGCCTGTGTTTCGGGTTGACGCTGCTCCGTTCTCGTCGATCTCTGTCCGAATTGACTGGATCAGAACTGGCACCAGGCGCTTGAGGGCTTTGACCGGATCAACCTTGACAAGAGAGCTGCAAATGAAGGCCATCGCGTCTCGAGCTTGATGAACAACGTGGTTACTTATGAAGTCGGCAATCTTGTTCAGCGCAAGGTCGTACAAATCAGGCGACAAAGAAGCCAGCAACGGCGTAAATGCAGCAGGAAGAGTATTCACGATATTTTCTTCGGGCGAACCAGACCTAGGTCGCGAGGCGTCCGGAAGATTTTCCAGAAGAGTAAACACTTTGCCGAGGAAAGAGCTCAGGAACTCTGCATATCCTGCAGTGGAAGAACGGAGGATGATCTCTTCGTCAACATCGCTCAAGCCATCCTGGTAGTCACATTTGACTTTCACACCTTCTTCTTCCATCCGGGCGACCTCGGAAGTAATCCATTCCATTGCAAGCATGCTGCCACTGATGTCTTCGCTGTCTCGAGTTAAGTCGTGGAGAGGTATGCTGTAGCACACGGACTGGATGTAGGATAACGTGTACAAGGTCTTGTCTAGGTCGTTGGCGTCTATGCCAGGAAGAGCGAGGCCCAGCATTGTGGTGACGTGACACCTGAAGCCTTTTGTACGAGCCATGATCCTTGATAGAACTTGCAAAGATCGTAAGGATGAAGTAGTTCGATGTACTTCGACCAGACCTTGCATGGATGGATAGATGCGCTGCAGTGCTCCGGGTAGGATCAAAGTTGGCTCTAGGTAAGCCAAACTCTGGAGACTTGACAGAGAAAAGTTCATCGCACCGCCACTCTTTGCGTAGATCCCCATGAAAACTACGTCTCTCAAGCACAAGACGAACCGCTGTTTTAGGGCATCGTTCAGCTTACGGTCGTCTGGCATTTCCATTTCTCCGCTCTTCTCACGGTTCCACCGCATGACGAAGAAATCAGTGAGATAGAAAACGAGCTGTGACAGAGGCTTGGTCCATGTGCCTGAATTAGAAGGATGGAAGAAGGTTTCGACCGCTTGCATAAGACCTTCGAGATTGGTCATGATCGAGTCGGGTGTATCTAAGGAGGCTGGTGACAGAGACATTATAATCCACCGCGCGATGTGATGCGCAATGGGATGCTTTTTTGGATCTCGTTCGACCATGATGGCAAGTCCAGCAGCTATGTCCATCGTTCCACTGTAGGGTGATGTCGCTTGCCCGACAGGTATCTCGAGAAGACGGAGGATAGCGGTGAATATTGAGGAAGATTGCTCCTGGGTGTAGATACCAAATTCGGTGAACGGGACATGGGCGGACACCAGTGAATCTCGAGCTAGTCTCGAAAAGAGATCCATGAAGGTGGTATCGAAGACTCTCGACCTGTTGACTAGCGACCATAAGTGAAAGAACGTGGGTAGATAATGCTGTGGTAGGAGTTCCTCTTTGCCTTCAGGTGGAGGTGCCGTTGGGAACAGCAGATTCAGAAGACCCGTCACAGTGTAGGCGCCTTCCGTGAAAGACGTTGTGAAATAAGGAAGAATTTCCGCCAGCATTGCTGGTATCTCCTTTGGATCGACATAGAGTTGAGCAAAGGCACAGAGTTTGGTGAGTGTCTTGTAACTACGCTTCACGTGTTGGGCGTGGACACCAGACTCTGACGGTATCACAAGTACTTTCCACTCCCGGAACAGAGGTCTCCAATCCAGAGTAAGATCGGTGCCAGGTCGAAGGTAATGCTTTCGCCTGCTCTGATCAGTCCTAGAAGTAGAATATCATGTCGTAAGAATACTTACTTTGTCAGTACCATAAACATGCTTGAGAACCTCTCCGCTGCCGTAGTATCCACACCAGGTGCCAGGGCGAGCTCATAGTATAATCTGACCAACTTTACTCTCTGGTCCTTAGTTGGGTCGAATTTGAGGCCTAGCCAATTTCTCAACTCCCTTGTCCAGTGTACAGCGCCCACAGCGAAGTCGCCAGCTTCTACCGAGATGTAGAGTTGCTTTAGCATCTCTTTGAAGTCTTGATTTCTCTTCACCTCGCTCTCCACCTCATAAGGCAGGTACCGAAAGTATGGATATGTTCTTGGCCGACTTCTCGCAATCTGTTTGTTGTCCTCCACTGTCCATCGTCCTGCAGCACCAGGACCTGGCGACGTAGCGCGAGAGTCATCGCCTCCGTCTTTTCCATCAAGTGATGCTATCAGCTCAGCTAATTTTGACGCATTACTTTCCATGACTTAGAGCAGGTATGGGAGAGGAGGGTGAGATTTGAACAGAGGGATTGCTGGTGGCAAAATGCTTGTAATGGGTGCTACAGAAATCGAGCTAGTCAGTACCTCACGCGAACGAAGATGGTAAGGCAATCATCAGGCGTGCGTGAGTGGTAAAATATCAGAGCTTACAGCATTGATCTCCCAGTATCCAAGCCAGTCCCACCGGTGCCACTCAAAGTAGAAGCTTTCAAGCCCAACCAGACACTTCGTTGGGAGTCCTGCAGGCTTCCTTCCTGCAGTTCTTATTTCGAAGACACCAGCTCGGCTACTTGCAGTGGAAGCTCCTAGGCTGTGTTGGAAGATCTGGGGAAGTTATTTACTATTGGTTGACGATCCTGAAGCTGCAACGATTATCGCGTGTCGACGCTTAGCGTCGGTTCTCCGGATTGAGAAATCTGGTGCACGAGTGACCTAACAGTGTCAAATCATCAATGTATGTTATGATTTTTTTTTGGCTGAGCAGTGAGTATGTGAATCAGATGAGTATTGCCATGGTTATTCAAGCTTTTATCATCTACATATGCAGGGGAGAAGGTGGATGACCAATTCATTCCCCATCAGGCACCAAGCGCATACGCACCACAGCCTTGTCATTTAACACTTTCTATTCCTAAATCGAATATGATCTCTCTACTCGTCCACTTGAACGGGTGCCAAGGAATCCTTTCTACTTTCACTTATGCAGGCGGCAAAAAGCTTGCGAATAATCCTCCTTGCACTATCGCATAGATGACCATCCACCTCGAAATGACAAAGGCAGTACTCCATTTCCTCCCCATTAAGGAAGTCTTACGATCCTCGAGGATCAAAGATGCCAGCCACCAATACCAGACAGGATAGCCAGAGGACAGTCGAGTAATTATTTGGACATGATAGCTCGTCAGCGTCAAAGCAGCGAGGACTATCTGGGGTGTTGCGAAACGACGCGCAATCGCTTGATTGATGCGCAAAGGCGAGCTGACCTCGATGTTCTCTCGGTTTCCCTTGTCGCCGCTGATCTCAGAACTCGAGCAACCCTGCAAAGCCGAAATTCCGGAACGGAACAGTATGAACAGCATCGGTGTGGCGAGGATAAACAGCGGAAGGTTCGATGTGGTCCAGTAACTCAGAAAGCCACTTCCCCTGGACAAGATCAGCTTTGTACGGAACAGACGTGTAAAAGCCTACCAGTATTGCCTCTGAACCCATGTATAAATACTCGGAGGCCAATATGAGCACCATGGTCTCTTGTCACTGTACGCACTTGCACGTACACAGTACTCGTCATATGCCAAATACTGAGGCACTATCGCTATGCAGGCCATTAGAAGTCCAGATATGGAGACAGTCAAAAGATGTCGGATGTTAGATGCGATATCAGTGGATCGCAGAATCCTAGTACCACAAGCCAAGGCGTCCCAAACCAGTAGCAGACCACTTAACAACCCATTGCCGCGGAAAGTCGTAGCTATGCCAAACAGAACGCCGGACAGGAGAACTAAGCAATCCCTCTGGTTTTTTTGTCCCTCGCCGTGCTTCAGCATGGCTTTAGCGTAAAGATAACAGCCGGTGAAGTTCAGGAATGAGAATGAGCTTTCTGCATAAGGTGCAGATAAAAACATGCCGGCGGGAGATATGATGTGAAGACTCGCAGCCAGAACACAAAATGACGAGATTCTTGTCGTCGTCGAATTTAGACACACGGTCAATGTAAGTTCATACAGCATCAGCACAGACAGGAGGTGAAAGACATGAGCCAGTATGATAGCAGCCAAAGCTTCAGGGCCAGGCGGCCACAGATGACCATTGGACCCAAGAGCTAGGATTGATCAGTTTCATGCGACGCAGGTAAGGTGGCACATTGATTACCTCTACTGGTCACCGCCACGAGGTTCGTGAAACCCCAACCGAAGGCCCATTCCTGCTCCCATATATATCCATGCCGGGCTAGCTGGGTAAAGTAGATAGCGTCCCATCTGACAAGACTTTTCAGTCGTGAAGCTGGCTCCCATTCAGACCCAGAGCCCGGATGGGCGAGGTGTAGATACGGATGCAATAAGACTGTAGAGGTATCATATCCGGGGCCAGGGCTTGTGAGAGCTATGCAAAGCAAGATCAATTTCCAAGCAATGAAACTCAGCACCAAAAACTCCTTGGGATGATCTATGGGTCGCACCCACGCGGTCAAGGCATACATCTCGCGTTTTCTTTCGGAGACATGTGAATCACTCGACGTCAAACAGGCTGGTGGTCAAAATAAATAGCACTTCTGCCGAGGTGGGCTACGAGAACATCAAGGCCTAAGTCAACAACGCGAGGATGGTGGAAAATTGATTCATGCGCAGGCAAATGTAGATAATATCGGATTGAACAACTTCATAGCCAGAATAATCTTCTCAAAACGTCTTGTTGTCAGGATCTCGTTGACAGTTCGAAGCGCCAAGAGTGCCACTTCTTTGGCAGATCCTCGGGTAAATATCTCTAAATGGTCGAGGCGCTCTCCCTGCTGTACTTCTTTCACAACTTCAGGTAATTACCTGTCGTCCACAATAAAACAGCATTTTACTCCACGAATTTCAGCACGACTCTTATGGCTGTGATCGGTAAACTTTTTGAGACGAGCTGCGCAGTACGACCTTTCATAGTCGACCTTCTCCTTCCGCCTTGACGCTCCGGCACCATCTGGCCCAAATTTTAGATCTTCTCCAGCAACCTACGTATTCCATCATGGCTCCGGAAACGTTCAACGCAAAGACTTCCTTAGCCACACTTCCCCCAGAGCTTCTAGCTCAGATTGTCGGGCACATTGACACCGCCAGGGCAATATCACATCTGGCATCGACTTGCAGAAAGGCATATGCCTTTGTGGAGAATGATGGCTTCCGGATCTTTGTGCAGACCAGGTTTCCATATATCAGGTCTCCTACCAAACCTAGCCCTTCATTCTGGAAAGAAGCGGCCCACGGTATCACAAGCCTTTCAAAGAATTGGGATCGCAAGGCTTTCGTTGCATGGAGTATAAACCCTCAGAAGGAGATCAGTCAGGACCTTCGGAGCCAAAGATCGCGTGGCCGACCTGTCCAAGTTGGCCAGACTATGGGATTTACTCCAGTCATTGATAGTTACGAAGCATGGTACGGGGGTGATTGGTCTTCGAGAAAAGAGGTTGTTGCATGGGGAGCTGGCGCTGCACTATACATGCGGGGTAAGATTATGGGCAAGAACAAGAAACACAAATGGCAGGGTTCGGACATGGGACACTTGAAAGGCATAAATGCACATAAACAGAGATATGCATACGCCATCTACAATGAAAAAGGGGCACATGAGGGGCTGGACGACATTACGACTGTCAGTCTTCTACCGCAACACGGTTTAGACGATCCTGAACAAGTAATAATAGGTAGGGCCAGCGGAGGGCTCTCTCTGATCAGTCTGTCCACAGAAACAGCTCAAAGCAAGATTCTGTCATCTTATGAAACCCAGGGACGTCCAGTTAGATCGGCTGCTACAAAGTCCGAGAGCAACCCACTGCTTGCCGCCTGCTTGTCTGACTCCACAATTGCTCTTTATCCCATCGATCCAACAAGTAGTCAAGTACAGCCAATTTCTCAGGTATCTACAAATCCATTCAATCAATCAAGGACATGGTCTTCTCGCTTCTTGCGGCATGATCGGTTGATTGTGGGCCTCGGCCCTTCCCAAGAACCTCTCCACGTGTACAATATTGGACAAGGCGAGATAATACAAGAGAAAGTGCGTGTATTAAAGCTCAGCGACTTTAGTGCAAATGCGCGATTGGATTTGCGAACGGAGAATGGAGTTCGTAGCGCCACTTCAGTATACTCCCTAGCGCCTATCGATGTATCATCGTCGGCTGGAAGAGCAGAAGAGAACATATTCTTGAGCGGAGCCTATGATGGCCTGACCTGGTAAGCATCCTCACTTGTAGGTCGATCTTAGAATACTCATAGGCTTACTCGCGTCTGTCAGTCTCCACGACCTGCGCTCCGCAAATTCGATTGCCGCTGTATTTCGCGATCCGGTGGACACTTTCTCACCAATATATTCTCTGCTTCCAATCGGTACTGAACGTTTTGTTGCCGGCGGTGCTCGCCATTCTATCATCAAGGTCTTTGACCTCCGCATGCCCGGCGGCAAGTTGTATCATGCAGCGGATCTAGAACCTTGCTCGGGCGCGTTCGACAACAGACCCCGGAACTTCAAATCAGGGAAATGGTTGAGTTGCTGCGAGTACCATCATGATTCAAAACATAGACGCCGTGGATGGAATGTCTTTCTTAGGCCTAAGGATAATAGCAGCCGTCGTGTTACAGAATCTCCTGTGTACGCCTTGTCCAGACCCTCGCAGTGTTCACCGACCTTCTTCGCTGGAGTGGAAAGCACAGTCCTACAACTCGATATGTTGTCTATCATGGACGAACATCCGGATCCATTGTTCAAATATGGACAGGCTAAGACAGGGAGCAAGCACGACGTCGAGCGCAAATGGGATCCTCAAGGTAACGTCTTGTGCTTGCCTATGTATGAGCACGACACGGGACCTGTGAACTTGGTAAAGCAACGGAAGGTAGAGTACACTCAAGGCTTGATTGAAGGATGGGACGAGAGATGGAAACCCGAGGAGCCTCGGCCAGTGGACGATCGTCGGCGTCATCACTCGTGGGGTCTTGTCTAGTGTAGGCTCAGATGATACAGAATCAGTCCATTTGCTACGCTGATGGCAGATGTATGCGCATTTGCGAGGCCAACCTAAACATCATTGCGTGTGACTTAGGCTCAACCAACCTAAACATGGCCCCATTTCTAACGTTACAGGACCTTTAAATGCATGGTTCTTGGGATACGAAGCCTCTGGCTTTCATGCACATTATGACATGTCAACAGTTAAAATGCTGAGGACCGGCTTTACGTCGCAATAAGCTGCTGTGAACTTGGCTCCAAAAAAGACCACAATGTTGAGATTTGATCGTGTTTGACCGGAGATATCTAACGAACTCAAGATGAGCTCCCAGTAGGTTCAGTTTGAGCTTGGACTGAGATTCCTGGTTATTTCACGAAAGAGGTTGGAACCAAGGATGCTTCAACGCTCTCTCCTGAGTTGTTCACGAACAAGTAGGTGATCTCACCAGCGGCGCCGAATACACTGACTAATTGTCTTACGCTGAAATCTATCTACAAACTTTTGGATAGCCCACAACATACAATCGCTACGAATCGATCTTTTTCTACGCTCGGACCGCAGCCAAAAACCATGTTCGCGAATGCGTTCGAGCAGCTCGCCCTTGTTGTAAGATCTTGCTAGAAATCGAACTATCCTTCTCGGAGAACTTAACGCCGACCGAAGATGTAGTACTTATAGTACCGAACTAGCGAGGTTCCAGTTGATGATACAGCTGGGCTGTGTTTCATTCTCAAAAACGACGACCTAGCTCGAGACCTTGAGCTGTTCCATGTGATCTCGGTCAGTGTCATCTGACGCGATGTGTGGTTCATTGGGTAGCTTAAGTCTTCTGCAGAGTCTGGAGCTCACATGCGCCAAGACCAAGGAATGCTGGGTAAAGCCGCCGATAGATCTATGTCTATGCTCTTCGCTGCACGGCTTACAACAGCTGCTTTGGGAGACGCTAGACGCTGCTTCAATGCCAGTCCCGTATCCATCTCGCTTACTTTTTGGGATCGTTTGGAGATATACAAGAACTACGCCATTCTTCTAGAGGTGGCTGTGAATGAGGACGATCAAAGAGGGTCGCTGATATGGGACACCTTGCCTTTCTTTCGTCACGCACTCAAGACCCTTTGGGAAGCAATTCTTGACTTTCAAGGCAGAATCTACACAGAAAAAGAGCTGAGTGAAAGCGTCCTCTAGAAGGCCGGAGAGCATGTCACAGCGGAAACAGAGACTGATGGCAGGGAAGAGGCCGAACGTTCTCAAATGGATCTGCTCCTTCGGTGCATATGAAGACTTCTGTATCAGAAGAATGGAAACCAATCTAATCTGCTCTTTCTTTCTTCACGCACTACAAACCCCTAGATCCGGCTGACAAATCGCGCGACAAATTTGGTACAAGTAAGGCTGGCGGGTACCAGTAAAGAAATTCACATTATATCTCTGGGAAGGAACACCATTACTTTCCTTCTTTTACATTTTTCAGGAAAGAACAACCAAAAGTACCTTGTCAACATGGCGGAAGATTCTACAGATCTTGTCTTTGTAACCCAAGACATAATCATCTATACTTACATTCATTCAAGGCCTCATTTGCATACCAGTCCAACTTATACTCGTCCTTTACTCTCAGTTCCAGAAATCAGGCCGTCCTTCGAAATACATCACTTGATCGAAGTAAAAGAGTGGCCTGAAGTCCCCAGCTCCTGGGAGCTATTCAGATTCTTTCTCTTTCTTCTCAGCTTGCTGTTGCTCTTCGCCTTAGCACTTGGTATCTACTTTCTTTTCTTACTGGTTTGCCAAAACTACGTGGCACCGACGCCCGCACCTTACTCATGACCTCGAGCCACAGTCAAGTAGCATTTTCTTGAATGCGTTCGAGCAACTCACCCTTCCGCTACGAGCTCTCTGTACATCCGTGTGCAAGCATCCTTGACCACCTTGAAGGAGTTATGGGAGCTGAAATCGAAGGTGACTTTCCAGTCGCAAAGGTCAGCTGGCCGGAGTTCTACATCACGGGCACAGAGATTTTGGCGAACATCTCGAGGGCCATACAATTTGACGCACAATTCTCCACTGCTGAGTTCGCCTACAATCATGAGCATTGGATTGCCTATGGACAGACTATGGCTGAGAAGTTGTTACCTCTCGCAGACAGCTTCCCCGAATATACCAATGATAGCTCGGTGTTCGTAGCTACACATTGGCTAAAGGTCCAGCATGCCAAGACGGCCATTCGCACGGCATTGGAAGGTAAGCGCTGATCTATATGCGTGGCCCTCGACCGAAGACTGATCAACGCTCTTTAGGCAAGAGAACCACTGATCTTTTGTGGGCTGTCTAAATCTGCAGAATCTTCCACTTTGACAATGCGACCATGAGCGGCAGGATGCTCCAAAAGAGTCAACTCTCAAGCAGCCGTTTGTAGGCAGCTAGCGTTACATGGCATATCGTCCGGTCACTGATCCGGTTTTCTGTTGAAGAGCACTTCATTACCGAATATAGGAACCATGAGTCCAGTAGATAGATTGGATGTCAACAGGCAGCTCTGAATCAAGTCGGTCATTCTCCGTGCAGCAAATTACTCGAACGCAGTGTAGCCTTGAAGAAGCTTACCTTCATTGATGAGGCATATGTAGCCCTGCTCATGATAGACAAGCAATAATCTTTGAGTGGTCGTTGTTGGAAACGTAAATGCCATGGCCACCGAAGTCGTCATCTTGCCGCGTGATCTGCAGAGAGAGCCGCGCCACGATAGCTTCACCTTCCACCACAAACCAATTGCCGCTCATATATCAACGTGCACACGGTCAAAGCCTCAGCAACTTCTCGAAGACTTAGGCAGCAACTTGTTCCTGTGCTCTTGTTGCCTATATATTTCCAGCTTCTCACCAGCAAGCCTAACACCTAAGCACCTAGCTACCAAATTCCCGACCTCGAAGCCAAGATGTCCATAAAGTCAGTATTACCACCACATTTCTTTGCGGTGTGCTCTTGCTAACAGCAGCAGCTGGGTCATGCTCGATGGGCCCCACGCATTCGTTCCCCTCCCCAGAGAAAAGACCCTCTTCACCTCACCACCCCGCACAGCATTAACGCTACAAACACCAAACTCCTTCCCCGGCAAAGAACCCTTTGCCGTCAAATGCAGCGACGGCAAAGCCATCGTCACCAACCAACGAGTAAGTCGCCCTTTCCTATCTCCCCAACGCACAACTAAATAACATACCCTAAAGCTCATCTACCTCCCCGCCACCCCCACTACAATCCTCGGCCTCGCACCCACAGGGCAGCAACCTCAACGTCCAACCCTAGACTCCTTCTCCGCCCCCCTCCTCTCCCTCCAAGACACCCACGTCACAGCCCCCTTCTTCGGCCCCAACATCTGGGAGGGCATCCTGATCCCCGTGCCGGGCGGCGGCATACCGCAACCGGACCGCGCCGTCTCTCTGAAGCTGACCTTCAAGGAAGGCGGCGCGTTCGACTTCTCCACGACGTACGAACGCATGAAGGAGACGCTGGCGCAGGCCATCGACACGGCGAGGGCGAGCGGGAGGCCCGTGAACGCCGGAGCGCCGGATGTGGATCTGGAGCAGTTGCCTGCGTATGAGGAGCTGGGTGGGGGTGCTGCGCGGGCGCCGGTCCAGATACAGAGACCGACGCCCGTTGGGCCGAATGGGGCGCACAGACCGGCGCCGCCGGCGAATAATGGGGTGGTGGGGTTGGGGCCTGCTTCTTCGAGCGCGGCGGCGCCGACGCCGGATGAGCCACCGCCGGGGTATGAGGAGGTGCTGCAGGGTGGTGTGGCGAATGATTTGGAGGGGAGGGTTGAGAAGAGTTAAGATGAGGTTCGGGGCATATTCTTTGAGCAAGGTTTGAGCAAGCGTGGAGTTTCGGAGGAGTCAGGGAGATTGAAAGGGCTTAATGGCAGATTACGAGTGTGGAGTGGTCGTGCCTGCATTGCGAAAGAGTAGAACAGTGATAGAAAGACTCATGCGCACGCCCTCTAGACCAGCTATTCGCAGTCTCAGCGGCCAATCCGCGCTGCTCACTTCGTTCCAAACGCCTCCTCCCTCTTCTTCCCCTCCTGTTCTCCCTCCTCAATCTCCAGCTCCCTCAACTCCCCACTGCCGACATCATAGACCAACCCATGCACCTCAACGCCCCTCTCCCGCATCCCATCAATCACCTCCGCATTCTCCTTGAGGGTCTGCACCCCCTGCCTCACATTCGCCTCCACCAGCTTCAGCGCCTTCTCCTTCTCACTCAACCCCGCCTCATCCCACGCCGCCCTGTTCTCCGCGCGCAATTTCCTCAACGGCATCAACCAGGCATCGATGAGCCCCAGCTTCTGGTTCCCCAGCGCGGCGTTGACGCCCCCGCAGCCCGTGTGGCCGCACACGACGACGTGCTGCACCTTGACGTGCGCGAGGGCGTAGGCGATGACGCTCTGGCTGCTGAGGTCGGTCGGCGGCAGCACGTTGGCGATGTTGCGGTGCACGAAGACGTCGCCGGGCTTGAGGCCGAGGACGGTGGTCTCGGGGACGCGGGAGTCGGAGCAGCCGAGCCAGAGGATCTTGGGCTTTTGGCCGGCGGCGAGGGTGGGGAAGAGGTCGGGTTGGTCGCGGGCGGTGGCTTGGGCCCACTGTTTGTTTTGGTGCAGGGCGAGCTTGAGGGTGTCTGGGGGGAGGGAAGGGCTTGTTAGCGATGATGTGTCGGGAATGGAGGAAGAGCAGGTGAAGGGTGTACTTTTGTTCGCTAAGGCGGGGAATTGGGAGAACGAGCAGGCAGGAGGGTGGGTAAGGATTGAAGAACGAATGGCAACAGGCAGTCTGTACAAAGCGCGGCGGAAGGACATACCATTGCCAGCCATGGTTGATGCGGGTTGAAAATGTTAACGCGGGCTTCTTCGGGTGATTGGAAGGGAGAAGAGATTTGCAAGAGCTAAGAGTGACGTGATATCGTATGCAGGAAGATAAGAGACAGGGTGACTTGGACCTTCAAGCAAAAGCAGCATTCAGGAGGAGAGGCAGTTGTACACTGGAACTGGAAGAAGAGAGACTTTATACAAGAAAATGAGGAGAAGGACCGAGGAGAAACAGCAACGGCAGATGTGTGAGATGGAAAAGATAAAGCCGCAGATAGGTGATAGGACGATCTGGAGTACTGTACCCCGCGTGGCGCTGAAGGAGATGCATATTCTAAGTGTTCAGAGGAGTGCTATATGTTCTTGAGATAGTTGTGTCGCTGTTCTACTAGCAAGATACTATATCAAAGGTGCATCATGGAATATGTACGATCGCGTTGTTGTTTGGCTCGCCAATTTGTTCCCCGCATTTTGGACCCCCCAGCTTCACCAGCGTCGTAGAAAAATGCTCTAAAAGACGCATGCGTTTGATCTATGAGACAGATAAATTCTACATGCAATTAATTGATCGTCAAAGAGACTATGGCCAATGTTTGCTTGCGCCTGTACGACGAGTGCAATTCCTTAAGACGCGCGCAGCAGCTTCTTAGTGTCCTCAACCGCTACCCTGGCCACTCGTTTCAACATGCCTCTTTCATCTCCTTCTCTGAATCTATCCCACCTATCCAATCCTTCCATAGCTGGTAGACTCAATGTGTTATAGCCTTGTCGAATTACCTTGCTCACTTCCCTTGGACTCATGTTGTTGCCCATGCGCCCTTTGCCATTCTCAGCTTCGACCAAGTCGTGATAGTGAGCTGCAACCTGGATGAGGATATCGATCGGTGCCGTCGATGGAACATTCGACGTAACGCCAATGGGTTCGCTCGGATGTGTAAGATACATGCGAAAAGCCTTCTTGAAGCGAGAGAGATAGTCGCCGGCTTCGACGAGCTTGTAGAACAAATCATCGTAAGCGGCCGGATCAGGAAGAAATGATTCTCCCGAGGTGACTGCTAGCGCGAGAGTGGTAAGGAAAGGATTGATGAGCAGAGGGAGATCTGGATCCTGGACTGTAAGCGAAGGCGCGTAGGTTGTCAGGAAGCGTAGGAAAGAGAGAAGAGTCTGCCATAGAAGTGACCAGTGATATGTAAGCCGTGTGCGGGTGAAGGTAAGATATGAAAGTAGGCGATGAATGAGACCGATGCAAGAGATGTAGAGTGGTATATCGAGGTGCCGGCGAAGGTTGTGATTGATGCTGTCCACAAGTATGTCGAGGATGGGGGCTGCTGCAGGGCGAGACTTGGGTGTTGCTGGAAGAAGTGGTTGGCGCTGCCGGCAGAGACGAACGGAGACTAAAGTTTCAGGGTCGCAGAGAACCTTGCATAAAGCCAAATCTTCGACAATGATGCGGAGGATCATGAAATTTAATAGCCCGTATATTGTAGCTCTAGGGGAGCGGTAAGCATGATGAACGAGGTATGATGTATAGGATAGAAATGCGCAAAAGGGGGCTTCCACCATCTTTGAAGTAGATGTACAGGAGACCAGATTGGAGCAGAAGACTTTGTTGGCAATTGTGAAATCATAGACACCCAGCAGGACGGCGGCACCAGGGTTTGGTCTGTAAAGTGTTCAGTGTCAGGAGCTCACGGAGGGTTGATGTACCAGTCTTACAAAACTGCAAACCCCTCCTTTATATCATCGGCTTTTGGCTGTGCGGGTGCTGCTCCTTTACTAGGGGCAAGCACACCGAGACCAATGTATGCCAAGGTGCTGCCGACCGTCCAGCCCTCTGCAACATCCTCTTGAATAGCAACATAGAGATTCCTGGATTGCGAGCATGCAAAGCCTATTCCTTGTGCAATCTTCTGTATTGCGCTCTCATTGACAAAGTCTTCAAGCCGCAGCCGATAGGGATTTCGAAATTCAAATTTGTTGTAGTTTGCTAGTAACCCCAAGAGAAGGAACGGCTTGAAGACTAGCTCAGGATTATCAGAGTCTTGTATAGACTGTGAGAATGTAAGCAAGTAGCCTCTATGGCTGGAAGTTCCCAACGTAAAAACATGGATCAATCAATTTCGTTGAACTCTGCGAAAATCAAAATGCCTTCCAAGAGAGATTGAGATAACAACGGGTAGGCATCAAAGACAGAGCAAGACGTTTACGCATACCTTGATTAAAGCTGGAAATAAATCTCGGTGGGCAAAGTATGATACAAGGCTTGTCTGATACGCCCCTGAAGTCAATGATAGAGCAACATCGATAGCCTTGCTGCGAATCTCCGCTATAGTCTCTCAGCGTCTTGCGAAGATAGTCATTGGATCTGAAGCCCCTACCTGATCTTCCAGTGCGTATGATGCTTTCAATGGCGTTTGCGAATTCGGAGAAGACAGCATCGACCTCGTCAAGACCAGCAAGCACAGTAATGATGTCGGCACTCGGATTAGTGTAACGCTTCGTCAAAATGATCCCTAAGAAGACTGTTAAAGTCTGGATTGGTAAGTGTCAAATATGGGCGCAAGAAGAGCTCAAAGAACATACATCAAGCGCATTTTCGTCTGACGGAGCTCTCCCGTGTTTGACTTGAGAGACCGCTCGTACAAACAGCTGTCGAGTTTCATGCTTGGAGCGTGGTTAGCTTAAGGATATTTATGGCTTTTAGGACGCTGACTTGAAGATGTAGCAGGTCATCTGTAATCAACCCGTCTAGCCTCTGCTCTAGGCCTGCTTTGTCTGGTCGAAGAAGGAAGAACTCGCCCCAGAAAGCGTCTGAGTACGCCAAGTCATCATCATCTTGTTTGAAGAGGTCGTCGTAAAGACCAATGATCTTCGGCTGGAATGAGCTTGGTCTGGCTTGCTGGGTAAGGGGCGAGACTTCCATTCTGAGGCGTACGACTTTAGCTACCGACTTACTGGGTTCATGACTGCACAAGTATTTAAACCATGAATCGCAACAGTCTTCTCGAAGCGCTTGGTCTATAGTAGAGCGCGAACAAGACGAAATCCATTAACTGCTTGGACAAAGAAAGGAACCGTAGGCCTTTATTTTAGCTTACAATGCAACGAAAGTGTTTGATGCAAAGGTAATAGATTCGAGAAAACAGCAAGCTCAATACTCAAGCCTTAAAGCAAGCATTTTGCATCTTGATCCACAGTGAAAGCTGAGGCATCAGCGTGCACTTTTCTCCATACCTCGGTAGTAGCGCGCGGCACGCGGTAGGGAGTAATCATGATGATGTTGATTGGCTGAAAGTCACCTTTGTCAGCACGGCAAATTCCGGCTTAGAAACTCCGCATATTGATGTGAATCTGTGAATGAGATCCGACAATTGACTCCTCCATTCACAGGTTTCATGTTTTCTTTTAGGGCACTCATGTCTATTGCCACAAGTGGGTAATCACATTGTCGAGATACTTTACCTTTCACCATTCAATATCAGCGATATGTCTATACAGCGCTACACTCATCCTCTGACATCATCCTCTTACAGCATCTTCAAATTCGCCTCTACCGTTGCCATCGACACGACAAGGTCAAGCCGTCCGGGAGTCCCTCACCTTCGCTATCACGATCATATAAGATTCTACACTAGAAGGCGCCTCTCGACCGCAACAGTATATCACCCCCGTTCTCTAGACTCTGCTCCGCCGCCACCCCGCAACGCAAATATTCCCGATACATCGATATCAGGCATTTCACCAGAAGTCAATAATAGGAGACCACCCCATCAAACAGGCCAATACGAATCGCCCTCCGTATCCAACAAGCCAGAAAAGCAAAGCATCAGCATAACAGAAACAGAGGCGCAAAAACCAAGACCTGTCACCAATGCCCCATCGTCCTCCCCTACCACGGACAAACCGAAGAGGCCCACCAAACTCCGCCCTCGGAAAGCAGCCATGACGCTCACACCCTCCGCCACGGAGCACCTGCAGCAATTACTCGAGCTTCCGGAGCCGAAGTTCATAAGGGTGGGCGTAAAAAATAGAGGCTGCTCAGGACTTGCATATCACCTGGAATACGTGGAAAAGGCTGGGAAATTCGATGAGGCGGTAGAACAAGACGGAGTGAAGGTGTTGATTGATAGTAAGGCGCTGTTTAGCATTATCGGAAGTGAGATGGACTGGGTGGAAGACAAATTGAATCAGAGATTCGTGTTCAGAAATCCGAATATCAGTGAGTTTTCTCGATGAGCAATACGATCGGATATGCGCTAACAACTTGACAGAGGAACAATGCGGTTGCGGGGAATCATTCATGGTCTAGTGCGACTTTCTTCCAGCATATTGTCCAGCGTTTCAGCGGCATTATAAACTGGACTTCAGACAGATACACCATGCTTCAGGCTTCATGACAGAACTCGTCCGAACATATCAGAATGTTCACTGTTCGTCCTCTTTGCTGCAAAGACCATATCTTTCCTCTGCCGCCCAAACCCCCTTAATACACACCCGGAGTATAATCAACCACCCCCACCCTCTCCACCACTCCCTTCAAGCTCTTCTTGAACTCCAAATGTGCCGGGTCCTCCTCCACATAATACTTCCGGTCCTCCTCGCTGGCGAACTCCACCACGAAAGCGTGCGAATAATCCGCCTGCCAGCAGATCAACCAGCAGCTCCACGCCACGAAAACACCACACAGGCGCGAAGGCAGCATAGGCAGGATGGGTGGAGGATAGGGCATACCTTGGTGCTTTCGGAACTATTCTGCCGCCCGCCGGAGGAAGTCGTGATGTAAGGTTTCTTGGATGCGGGGTGGATGCATTGGTTGCGGAGGTCGACCATGCGGTTGCATGCCTGATCGGACTTAGCAGAGTTCTCTCTCTCTCAAGATTTCGTACGGCGGGAGGCATCTACGTCTTGGATGGCTGAAAGCTCGGTCGAGGGTTTGAACTGGAGTGTGGTCAGATTGGGGGCTGAGAGCTGATGGAGAAGTATCGCGCTTTCACCTCGAACATCACGACGTGGATGATCGCCATGATTGCGGTTATGGACTTGCGATTTGGAGGAGGTGTCAAGGTTTGGGCAGAGGGATTTGAATAGATGAACATTGGTGAAGCTTCGGTCAGCGAAATCCCAACGGGATGACGTCTTTTTGCCTCATCACTTTACATTAGATACATATGACACGACGCTTTTTTTGGTATCTGGACGTCCATCTGCCAGCTTTTGACTCAGGAGGGAAATTTGTCCATTCATTGCTATATAATCTGAGCTTGCTTCTACCCCTACCTCTTCTCCACAAATCCCAGAACCTTCCTCACAAAGTCCTCCGGATTCTCCTCCGCAAGCCAATGCCCGCTCCCCTCCACAATGCCTCGCTCAACATTGCTATACATCTCACTCGCCATTTCGAACGCACTCGCCGTCATGAAAACATGCTCCCCACTCAAGATCATTGACCTGACCTCCACCTTCCCATTCTTCTTGAGCCACTCTTGGTTATGCACCGCATCCGTCTCAAACATCCTATAGACGTGAAATCCGCTTCTCAAGGCGCCAGGCATCGAATACTGCGTTGCGTAGAACTCCAAGGTCTCACTCGAGAACGCCTCCGGATTCTGAGCCAGGCGGTCATAGAAGTGTTTCAAGTAGATCTTCTCTTTGCCCGATACAAGAGAGACGGCGATGTCGGATTGGGCTTGAAAATCGAAGTGCCAGAGGGGAGCGGTGTGTTTGTTGTCTTCGTAAAATTTGGTGCCGGGGAGTGGACACTCGCCCCAGATGACGCTGGCGACGTTGGAGGGGAATTGGGCTACATACGCATGGGCGATCATTCCCCCAATATCATGCCCCACGACATGGATCGGCTCTTTGACGCCCACATGCTCCGTCACCAATTTGTACAAATCCTGGGCGAGTACATCCTTGGTGTAGCCATCAGGCGGGTGGGACGAGTACCCAGCACCACGATAGTCTGGAACTATGACTCGGTAGCCTCAATGATTTCGGAGTCAGCATCACTCTTTCGGGATGAATTCTGAGTGCGAAGCATGTATTAGAAGCAGAGAAGTCTAGAGGCATGTCTGGCGACCCACAAGACAGCATGGGTGGGGAACAATTGCATTGGAAAATATAACGTACCGGCTTCAGCGAGCGGGATGGTGACATGACGGAATTGGTAGGATGTCTCTGGGAAGCCGTGGATGAGGAGAATGGTTCCCTTAGGCTCGCTAGAGGTGGGGAGATATTCGATGTAGTGGATACGGATCTCCGGGTCAGCTTGCTGAAGCCAGATCTGGCGGTGGTGGGGAATAGGCGTGTTCTGGGATGGCATTGTTCAGGATGTGGTGGAACTAATGATTTGTGAGGAGACTACAGTGTGGTGCCTGTTGATGTAGACGATGACGACTGTGTAAGGAGGGTATTGGGTTTATAAGGCATGACGCTCGAGTGACGCTCATGACGCTGCAATCGAGCGTCACTTCAGCGTCATTTGAAGGAGCGGGCAAGGTGCATTGGCAGGCCTCCTCCGCGGCCAACCAGGCTACGTAATCTGCGGAAACATCCTAGTTACTCGAAATAGAGAGTGTCCAGAATATAAATGTATGCTTACTCTTAGCTGAGCGCTGTGGATGATGGACCTCATTGCTTCTTGCCCGCTGGCCCTCGTGCACACGTCTCCGCCTTTGATTCTTAGTTGCACGCTAGCGAACTACGGTCCCTCATGCCAGCAAAGCTAATGATTTATTATCATGACTTGTCTCTGGTCTTTGAAGAGAAGGATATGTGAATTGGTCAGCCTCGCTTCAGCAGTAGCTTCAAGTCAAACAATGGCTTGGGTGCAAACCGCCGACATGCCACAAGTGTTTGAGCTCCCTGGAATAACTCAGATTTGGTGACGTTTGGGCAAGTGTTCTCGATTATCCTGTCCCCGATCGTATTCAATTGGCAAAAAACAATAATTTTGCCAAGAATCGACTTGATAGCAGTCGGTGCAGGGTTTTCAGGCATAGCAGCAGCCGAATTTTACCTAGAGACTCGCCCTGACAATTGACTTCTCTTTCTGGAGCAAGATAACTGTCTGGCCGGACTGTGGAACTCGAGGAGGTCGTTTGAGGATATTTCTGACATAATGGAACGTGGTGACAGCAGAATGATCGAAGGTCCACGTAGCTCGTCCGCCAGAGAATGACATTTGCTATCAGTGCTTTCACACCTCGTTGACTAGGCAGTATCTAGGAGTATACGTGGTTCAACATAGCAGTGCCGGGACGAGCTTCCCTGACAGGATTCAGGTCGGCTTCCATGTACATTCGATCAGGAAGCCAGCCGGGATGTGGGTAACATGGGGTGACGACGTCAACAAAAACACCAGCACATTTCGCGTGTCGAAAGTGATCATTACGAGCGGTCTCACCCCTTTCTCCTCTTTTCACGCCATTCCCCCTCCCCTCCCGCCTCTCGAATTTCCAAGCAACCTGCAATCACCATCCTGACAATGTTCACTATCATTACAAACCTAGGCGCGGATACGCATGGCAATAGAGGAAAGAGCTCATAGCCTAGCGAAATAGCTACTACTCCCTTTCTCTACCTAGATACTAAAGTGCAAGATGGCTAGTAAGTGCGAACGGTTCCCAAGGTTCTTGTTTGCTAAGATCTTCCAGCAACGACCGTAACCGCCCAGCCCACGTGGTGCCGTTACGAGCTTTCAACGACGCAGACGATGCAGATCTTGTGAGCTGGCTACGCAGTCTGAACGACATCGACGTATGGGATGAGGACGTAGCACATTCTCCAGAGCAACTGAATGAATGGGTCAGACCTGTTGACAGGCTTCTTCGCTATCTGATTATATTAGTTTGTCCACCCTGCCAGACGTTCGCCAGGGCCCGGGCGGGGACCTCGAGACCTACTACCGTCGTGTCGAGGATTAGTTGCATGCTCCAGGTGGAATAGATCGCGGCGGAGGAGAACTCAATCAGCTTACAGAAAATCAATATTCAGAAATCTACTTATTTACGGAAGAGTATATCAACGGGCTCTACGACCCGCCTCTCCGACAGCGCGTGTGTATCAACGGCCGTGTTCTTGATAAACAGTGTTCACGGAGTCTACTCGCAGTACATGTGACATCGGAAGCACAGGCGTGTGTGCTAAAGGAGCGTGCAAGTTGGCGAAGAAAGAAAGAGATCAGTCGGCCATGAAGGACAAGGATCAAGACAGCGGCGAGGTTGGGGAGGCTTCCTACGCTCCACTGAAAATTCAAGAGCTTGCTTGGCGACCGGGCCATCCACGACCTAACCCTTCCACACGTTGAGAACAATTCGAGCTCACGGATTTCGCGGGAGGTGAGAGGAAAGCAAACGATTGAGAGGATTGTGCCGTTGGTTCTATTCTACGAGTAGTGTTGAATCTCCTGGGCCTGTGAACAAGGACTAAGGAACGTGCTAGGGATCGAAACATGCCTTTAGGTAGCAGTCTAGAGCAGCAACGAGACCGCAATGTTTCCGCATCGCTTCCACTATGTTGTTAGAGATGGAGGTCAATAATAGCGGATTAATCGTGATCGCGAAACCCTGAAAGATAAAATATGATATGCTCGTTGTCCACCACTTGCCGAGGTGAACTAAACTGGGAACGCTCGACTAGGCGCCATATCACAAATTCTAGAAATCGCAAGAACCTCAGAAGCCTGGCTCAATCCCTACTACAGTATCAACACACTTTCTGCTGTTCACGTTGATCTGCAATCATCCACCAAGCTCGGCCCCAAGATATCTTGCCAACCCCCAAGCTAGGAAAGATATCAAGTCAGGGTTTTGATCTCTGATATTTACGCTACTTGAAGCTAACCGGGCTCTGAATGATTCAGTTCTGTGAAGGAGGTACCCAAGTGAGGTGAGGCTTCCGCCAACAGAGTTCGAGAGACTTGCTTGTCCACTGGACTTCATCCTTATTAACCTTAAACACGGACTTGGCTGCAGGATTCATCGCCATAATCTACAATTGAACCAGATCAGCCTCTTCAATACTGGCCTCCAGCACCATTCCTCTCAAAATCTCAGGCTTCCTTCCCATCCAACCTCCCCTCTCCAGTCATTGACCCCAACTACTAATCATCTCGAATGTCCCAGTACCGAACCAAATAATCATCCGATCGGGATTCCACTGTTCTAGGACACAACAAAATGGGTTCTTACAGATAATGACCCATTGACCGAGTCAGATGAACCGACAGTTACCAATGCAGAGCCACAACCCCACCAAGATCAAGACCGAGGATGCGATACGAAATTCAACGGAATGGATGGAGAGCATGGCAAGAGCGCTTCCCTCTGGTTCGCTAATAATGGAACGCCACCGCGAGGAAGGATCTACGCCGTCGATGTCTTTCCAGCACATCGACCGTCATCTCAAGGGCGAAAGCCGCTGAGTGGGTCCTAAACACTCCAAGTGCTAGGGCTCTCATATACAAAGGATATATGGAAGTAGCCACGCCAGATATCGAAGCCTTCCAGACGGCTCTTACCCAGCGCTTCAAGTTAACCGTGGAGGATTTTATGGTCATGAAGTTCAAGGCCGCAGTTCCTTCTCTGCTGCATGAATCAATTGGCATCGGAGAATTTAGAGCAGTACTACAGTCGCAATCGAGACGTTTTGCACGGTTGTGACGATGACAATGACACTCCAACGCCATTAGAGATATCGTTGCGCAGCATTGTGGTCACGAAATTCGTCGCTGGCCTCAGGAATGTCTGGCCTAGGAGCTGCACCAGTCTCAAATGTCGTTTTGCTCCAACCGCAGATCCTCCACCACACAGTGAGCTAAGCACACAAAGCCAGGAAGCGCAAGCTTGCCGCAGAGGGGACGGAATCGGACAATGCCAAGACGCAGAAGCACGGGAAAGCGGAATCGAAGCTGCCCACCCACACCCGCAAAAGATGACGAAATCGCCCTCCCCGAGCAACGCCGACAACAGTCACGCCGGACCTGACTCTCCAAAAAGCCCGAGACCGTCGCAAGGGCGGATCAGGCGGCGAAACCCGCTCGATCCGTCCGACACCGTCGACGAGTCAAAGCCATAGACATCTAATCTGCACGGTCGAGGGGGGGCCTGCGCTCATGACAGCAGGGGAGGGAAGAGGCACGGTGGTGCGAGTCTCGTAGACGAGATTGTCACTAGGCTCTGCGGATGCCGAACAGGGATGGATACATACGATAGACGGAGTCCCTGGGATAGATGTGTGTGGAAAAGTGGAAGGAAGAGCACACGGACAGATTCAACATGGCATGCAAAGACCACCTTTTGGACTACCTAAATGTACACTCAAGCCCGACAACTTTTCCCATTGACCACCGACCGCAGAATAAATGACTCACTTTTGGTTGTGTACAGCCGACGCGCGTCCTTTTGTTCCTTGCCATAAGCCACCCAACCTTTTTCCCACAAACACGCCAAAAGAACGGAAGGGGTATAGAACTTTTGTCCCCATTCGGTCAGCCATCCCCACAAAACCGACAGACGCCTCATTTTTTGAACATGTAATGCCCGTACAAACCGCCAACCTCGCCCCACGCGACAGGCACCTTCCTCATTCCCCACCACATCGCTCCCATCTTCCAGCCTCTCCTCCCAGTGGTCGCCCCGGCCCCGTTAACACTCGCATTCGCTATTGGCTCCCTGACGTACCAACCCCGCCTTCCCAGCTCCTTGACGACCCAGCCCAGCCGTTTGTTGGTGTTCTTGCACTCCCGAAGCGAGGAGATGGCTTTGTCGCCCAGTTCGATGACTTCGAGGGGGAGCGCCCCGGGCGTAAGGAGGATGTTGGTTGGAGCTGGGGTGTTGAAGAGTGTTGATTGCGAGACGGCGGGGATGGCGGTTAGATCGAGATAATGTAGCGCTGGACGCACCCAAGGCTGCTGCTGTCCTCGAGACCCGGTGGGAGAGGGACCGGGCTGGCGGAATAGCATGTTGACGTCAGCAAGAGAGATATTGGCACAGGCAAGGCCCAGCTCTTCGACGTGTTTGGTGAGAGGCATGAGCTGAGGAATGTGCCGTGGATAGATCTGGGCGCCATTCAAGTTTAAAGAGCGCAGGCTGGAAGGCAGGGAGGGAAGAAGACGGTCAACGTCCGCATCCGAAAGTAGACGGTAGCGAGAGATGTCGCAGGAGAGGTTGAGATAGACAAGGCTTCTGACTGCAGGATGAGTAGTTAGAAAGTCCACAACGCCTTCTCCGGTGATATAGATGCAGCGACCAAGATTGAGGTGTGATAATGTTGCGGATGCTGGCAGTGACATCAAAGCTTCGTCCGTGATGCGAGTGTGGGAGGCGTCCAGGTGGGTGAGTTGCGGTAGGTGTGGGAGGAGGGTTTCAAAGGCTGAGCTTGGGAGAGTGAAACATTCGTGAATGCCCAGGCGGCGGATGTTGAGCATCGTAGACGGGGAGTCGATTAGGGTAGTCAAGGTGGACGTAAACGCATCCACGAATGATGAGGACGCTGAAGCGCAGAAGTCAATAGCACGGAGCTTGGGCAGGCCGAAGAATAGCTTCCGGAGCACATTCTCATCGATGTCATCGTCCAAATTTTCTTGCAACAGAACCTCTTGGACTGCTGGAATCAACTCGAGGCATTTAAGAAGTGTCTTCGAGGTGAGGTTTTGCACTTCAGCATTCGTCTGCCGGCTGCGGCCGAGTCCGACCGAAGTAGTGTGTGAGAGGTCCAGCCGTCTCACGATCGTTCCTAGGCCAGGGTACTCGGAGATATGGTGCAGGAATTTGGCGAAGATCGAGGAGTGGGGAAGAGTGATTTGGCTGTAAAGTGTGTTGATAGTAGCAACATGGACAGTTTTCGAGGTCAACAGACACGCGACCAGATCGACGTTGCGTGGACCATAGCCAGCTGGTGGGATGTCGAGGGCAAGCTGTGCGATGATTTCATCTGCTCCATGGTCAGTGCGGCCACGTGGAATACTAATTTACTATTGAGACTCACCGAGCACTTCGACAGGCAGCCTCTCAATTGGCGCCTCACCAGGAGCGTACGATTTCTCAACCTCGATCTCCGTGGGCTCCTGAGGCCTTGGGAGCTCCAAGTCCCAGCCCGACAACTCAGAAATGCCGGTCCTCAAGGCGGTATAGCTCTTGCTCCTACGCTTGCGCCCAGGTCCTACGGGCTGCCATTTAGGGCTCCTGCCGCACCGGCAGCAGCAGTCGCAGGTGCCGGCCCCGGTACGGTTGCCGACATTATGCACGGCGTCTGGAGATGTAGGCACGGAGGCATTGACGGACTCAAAGAAGGACTGTGCTATGCCTGGCCTCATGATGGCTGGTCAGTATGAGATTTTTAGGTAATAGGTAGTCGAGTGTGTTTGGATGTGGGAATCGCGTGCGACTTACCCCCCTCTTCTTCCTTGACTGAAGAACACGAGCTTTTTCTTATGTCACGGAAATGGTGAGACCCTTGCGCTTTGCACAGTGAATGTGAAGTAGCTTGCGAAGATATGGCGCGCTTGTCGGCAATGATAGCGGTCCGGCCGTCGTTGGTGCATTCTGCAGGAAGAGGCTCATGCGCAAAGTCTGGGGTAAAAGGCGGAGATGAGATCCTTCTATTGGTGAGTCTGGGGAAGTCTGCTGCCAGGTATCGACTTGTAGTCGTAGAGTTTGTCGGCTCTGTCTCGCGGTAAAATGAAGGGATCGAGACCATGCTGTGTTGAGAATGTTTAGCTTCGATGCTTGAGATGCGGCGTGAATGAGATGCAGAGGAGTCAGTAAGAGAGGCGACAACAGCTTGAAGGCTTGACGAGGCTATGTACTGAGATACTGTACTACAGGATCAAGTAATGGTGATGTAGGAAATTGTCTTCTGGTGTTGTAGAGAGACAGGTTATAAGGCAGAAATAAAGACGGTATCCTCCTTATTTACCCTGATGGTAGAACACCTAATGATCACCAATCATAGCGAGTGTTGATAAATCGTCGGAAGTTGTACTGTACTCATGGCAAATGGAAGTTGGGGAACAAGCTTTGCAAGATCCAATTATGCTGAAAGGTCGTTGCATCATCCCGTTCCCTGGATGACTCGTCTCCCTTGTGTCCTGTCAAATTTGCACGCTCTGACATAATAAGAACTCTGGGGCCTCATCAATCCTCCACGTGCCAACATGACCTTTTCAATGCGTCCGACTGAAGTAGATCGATACTCCATCAATATATGCCGGGTACTTGGGCGTGCTCCTGCTCACATTCGTGATTTCAGGACATGCTGAAAGGGATTGGCAAGGAGCGACGTCTGGGAGAGAGAGAAAGAGAGAGAGAAAGTGTGTGTGTATGTGAACGAGGCGAATTGTGAGGTGCGGTTAGCTACGGTAATCCTTCCGAAAAGTGGCAACAACGTCGTCTAACCAGATGCATCAAACCATCCAACCCAACTTTTTCAACGGACGCTCAGACCTTTTTTCATCGTCTGTGCAGCAAGAATCTGGGGTACCGATAGTTGTACCCAAGCGTCCATTCCAGAGGCTACATGCGAAGTATAAATTCATCTCATCTACGGTTTCAACTTTCCATAGGCTCGCATGCGCTCCTCATATCCATTCTTGGGCAGTCAATCCAATGAGTAAATTTACCCCGGCTTCCTGCCTCTATCTACCCCCGATTGGGTTACCGCTTTCTGGAAATTAATTCAAAAGGGCCACGTCCCATCGTCACACTTTTCCGCGACCTTTAGGCGCTGGTGTCCCATTCGAAGTACTCACAACCGCCGTCGTTCTCTTGGCTGCTAACGTCCCATTCACGGCCCCTAGTCCCCTCAATCTGCGCACTTTCGGTCGCCTCTCTTCTGCGTCATCTGCTTCACCTTTCGCGTCCTGGTAAGATGCGAGTCTCTCGGCCCACGCCACCGATTTCCCATTTTCGGCTCCTTGTTTGGCCGTACTTGTCAGATCTGCACGTTCCGTGGGGAGATCCTGCAGAGCTAGAAGAGGCGGCTTCGATTGACCTTTGTTTCGTCGAGTGTTCGCGCGCGTGCTGACGGCCAGGTCCTGGGCTTGAGACTTTTGCAATACAACCGGATCAGTACCATCTGCCCTTCTGACGGGAATAAAGCTTGGGGCGCCTGGAAGTGCTTTGGATGGTGCAGGTAGGCGAGTCCTCGTGCTGCGTCGGCAGGATGCAGGCTCTGCAGTGAGCTCTTCACCGTCGTCGGAATCGAGTGCCTCCATCTTCGGCGTGCCGGGTGGAGTACCGGGTCGATGAGCGACATTTCGCGGCTTCTGTGGCGATGAAGCATGGCCATCTTGAGATCCGTGCGTCTTACGTGGAGAACGACGTGGAGAATGTTGCGGTATCGGAGCAGCTGGTGCTGATAAGATAGGCTTCTGCGCAGCTTTCCTGGCTTGTGCGCGATTAAGGAAGTCTTTGAGCATGCTAGTGTCGTCACTAAAGCGGGCTCCTGATCGCGTCTTCTGATTAGGCGTCTGCTTTTTGGTAGCTTCCATTACCTGCGATACGCCGTCAAGTTCTGTTTTCGCAAGGACTTCATTGGCCTTCTCCATAGCCTCCATCCCCTGAGTGTCATCCGGAGTAAGGTCGAGCAGGGGTTGGCTTGCGTCAGCGATACCTGGATGCTCGTAGACCTCGATGGCTTCTATGGCCCTATGCAGATCCTTCTCGACATTGGTCTCATCAATAGCAGGCAAGATGGCTTCCGCACCGGTAACGATGTCATTGTCGGGCTGTTCCGCACGAAGAATGGGCTCTGGGCTACCATGTACGTTGTCTCCTACGTTATCTTCGGCTCCAGGTGCCGAGCTGCTGCTTGGAAGAATGCTAGCTTCGATGGGCCGAGCATCCAGATTTTCATCGCTGTGATATGCGTTGGTCTCCGCGATGATCTTTTGCAGAATCTCTCGTTCTTGCAAAGTGTCCCTGCGTTGTAGTGTATCCCTCTTCTTTGGGGTCTTATTCTTTCCTGCATCTTTCTTCTTGCTAGGACTTTCTTTTCGTCGCAAGCTTTCTCTTCTGAGAAGACTAGTCCCTATCTGCGGAGATTCACCTAGGTTATCTGCCCGTAACGGTTTCGCAGGAAGCAGTTGTTTTGGGGTGCCGGTAGCGCCAGGAGTTGTCACTGCGTGTGGTGACATCAGATTTGGCTTCTTCCTAGGGCTTGCACGCTTCGGCGTCCTCGAACAAACGCTTGGCGTTAATGACGAGTCGAGATTTGGCTGTTCAAAAATGAGCGCCCCTTTAGTCAATGTTTTTAGCGAATCCATCACCGTCGACGAAGAGGCATCCGCAATATCAATTGACAAAGCCTCGGGTATGCTGGATGAGTGATTTGCGTTTGGCGACAACGCACTCCCACTATCAACCGTCATGGCTCCCTCGGCATTCACTGTCTCTTCGTGACGAGATGGTGACAGGACAATGATCTTTGCTGCTGACGTTGCATCGCAACTTATAAGTATGCCGTCTGTGTCCTCAGACACCGCCTGCGTACTGGCAACGTCGTTGTCCGTTTCGATAGCTTTACCAGCAATGATAGCAGTCTCGGACACGGTTACTGCTCCATTCTCTAGAGATACCTCATCTGTTGAAGCGCCTTGATCGGTATTGGTGATTGTCTCGGATGATGTTCCGCATTCAGTCTCCAGAACTATCTCATCTTTTGGGAGCTTAACCGAATGGCTGGGTGGAATTGTGTCTGCAATCTCTACTGCATCTGCAGCGTCATCACCTGAGCTTAACAGCTCACGAACATCCTCCAAAGCCGGGCTTTCTCGAGCGAGCAATGTATCATCTTGTACGGCATCCTTAGAATTATCGACGATCATCGGCGTAATACCATCAGCACTTTGTGTCTTGACTCTCGCGTTGTCGGGCTTGAGGCTCTTCTTGCTCGCTTGTTTGCCTATGCAGCACCACTTATCAGTCCCATGCATCCACCATAGAATCCAATCGTCGGCAACACTCACGTCTTGGAGTGCCTGCACTCTCCTTATCACGCAGCGTAGTGAGGTACTGAGCGGCTTTATTTTCCTTTCCATTGTTCTCAATTTTCGGCACATCCTTCAGTCGCAAACGCTTCACAGGCCTTGGGGTATTAGTAGTATCACCCAGTGCTTGCCGAGTCTGCTCAGCATCTTGGGATTCTTCTTTTGTTTCCGGTTTGGCGGGAGCCTCATGACGTTTCCACACCTTGCGCCCATGGTGACGAGCTAGCACAGGAGATTTCGGAGCGCGTTCCCACGCTCGTGGTCGCGGTTTAGGAGCTTCATCATTTAGGGAAAAGATGCCTTCTGTGGGATTCCTAAAGGATAGAGCAATTTTTTTAGCAGGCAGCAATGAAAGAGACAATTTCAGGGAATCGCAAAAGCTTGGAAGGAGCAACCCACCACGAGGAAAGCGCTCCCGGGTCAGTCATGATGACTCAATCGCGAATGACGTTGATAAGTATGCTCGCTCACTGCATCAATAGTAGTATTTGTTCATATACAGGTAGCAATGGGCGTAGAAGTACAAGATGAGAAGTTCAACAAGTCATGCGACACGGAGGATGGAGAAGCAGTCGAGTGCGGCAGGAAAGTAAACATTGGTCAGCCCTGCAAGCTACTAGCGGCTTGGCGTCAATGATGCCGACTCGCCGACATATCGACGAATGTTTGAGCTCGCCCAGGTCAGCAGCACTGAAGACCGCCCTCCGATGTATCAACGATAACAACTCTATTCCATCAGTGGAACCTACAACCATGCCTCCTAAAGGCGGCAGCACGAAGCTCGCCCCTCCCCGCCTCCCTCCCCTCCCCAAACTCCGTGTCCGGCGACCGAACCGACCGGGAGAAAATCCTTGCGTCGGGATCATGACTTCGGTACTAGGTATACCTGCTTTCTTTCCTGGTATCAAGATCTTCGGTGCTGATCCTCTGTGTGCAGGATGTTGGGCGTCCTCAGGCAACGTAGCAGCGCACTGCCAGCACTTGGAGCAGTCGTTGAGGGCTTGTATGGATGCGCCGGTACGTTTGCTCCTGTTCTCCTGTCTCGGCGAGTGGGAAAACGAATTGGAAGGAGCAATGCTTATCCGTGCTGGGCTGGGTGGAACAGAGAGAGAAGACTGGGAAGAAAAATACGATCAATTACCATCTCATGCGGCTGTATCCGAAGATCAAGGGACCGACCAAGCAGGGCAAATGAAGAGGCAGGACAAAAGAGCGCATATAGGGAGGGAACTCATAGTATCTACGGAGACGGGCTTTCCCGATGGTTAGGGGAGTCGAGGGAGAGGTGGTTTTTGAGAATGTACATTGAAGCCGGGGCGCAACGCAGCATTCGCGGCGTTGTATAGATTGCGCATTCAAAGGCGCAAGAGGGAACAGTTGTGCCATATTGAACTCTGCGAGTTGGAGGCCTGCTTGTATGAAAGGTTATACGGGGGAGGATTATAGCCCAAGTCGAATCCCCAAAATCAATGCCAAAATTGCTATGAGTATCAATGCACCGCCAAAACACCATGCTAAGAAGGAACCTGATTCATGCATCTCATCAAGAAAAAGCAACACTAAACGTCCTTCCTTCCCTCAGCAGCACTATCGGGCGTCGCACTCCCAGTCTCACTACCTGCAAAATCCCAACCCCCACTCCCATCCTCACTCTTCCTCCTCCTCTCCTTGCCCCTCTCCCTCATTGCGCCTCTTATCTTCTTACTAACCTCTTCCAGGCTTTCCTTCGAGCTAATTGCGCTAAAGGCCTTTACCGAAAATCCTGCACTGCCAGCTTTCCCACCACTCGAGCTACTTCGGCTGCGACTTCGACTTGGAGGCCTAGAAGCGAAGAGGCCAATGTTTCCGAGGTCATGGAAGGAATCATTGTGCGGGAGGTAGCCTTGAGTTGAGGAGCCGCCACCGACGCTTGCCAGGCCTTCATTGGCGTTGCTGCGGGTTGGAGGGGTCGGAGGGAAGCCGGACGAGGTTCCGGAATGGGTGCGTGGAGACTTGGGAGATAGAAGAGCGCCGTCGCGAAAGGGATCGGCGATAATGCGGGCGGAGTCGAAGTCTGGAAACATTTCCGGTCCCAGGGTATTGATGACGTCTGTTACTTCATGAGAGAGCGTGGCGCGCTTCTCGCGGAGTTGCTGTAGAGTGTTTGCGGAGGTAGGATAGAGAGATAAGACCAGAGGCCGAAGCGATTTGACGATGTCCATGCCTGTCTCGCCGATACGGAGAGCGGCGAATGTTATGGATGGGAAGAAGACTACACCAAATAAAACGACCATCCATAGGGGGACCCATTCTGGCATGTAGCCCTGGACTCTGTTTTTGTGAGTCCAATAGGTCAAGGTAATTGTGTAAGTAGCGTAGAGGATTGGGGCAAAGGCGAGAGCGACGAGCAGCTTCCAGGTAGCCATGACGTCGCGCCCTTGAAGCTTCACTGTAGACGCCGCTAAGGCTTCACGGGACTTCTTTATGGAAATAATTTTCGAAGATATGAAGACTGGTGCAAAGAGGACTAGGCCTGGCAAGGTTCCAACGGTCAACACACCAAGTTTCCCAAGCCTGTAGATGAGTGTAAAGACGACTTTTGGTATTGAGAACCTTGCGTATTCGACCTGATGATCCCGTACACCGAGGAGCCAGAGCTGTTTGTTGTATCCGTTGACGGACTTCTTAAGATTGACAATTCTGGGATCGTCTTTGTGCTGAGTATACCCTTTCACCAGCCGCCGATTGAGTTCAACAATCATTGGAAGAGGGAGCTTCTTGCCCGTGGGATTGTACAGCCGCCGAGCTGCTTGGATCAACTATGAGAGATCAGCAGGGAGCCACGTTCGTCAATTGCAATGATACGCACCATTAAAGTGTCATAGTCAGGACTCGTCACTGTCACCGCGACTAAAGCTTGATACACTATCTCCAGCAATCGACGTGTTGCTTCTCGTCTGTCGCCACTTTTGTAGAGTTCCACAAGCTCAGTAGGTACATCAACAGGGGGGCCGAATTCGACTACCGCTCGTGACCTGAACTTGTGGGCATGGAAATAGTTCATACCACACGGAACGATCTTGACGCCTGACTCCGGGTTTGCTGCCAATGATCCAAGAGCCATTATCGCGACGCCGGCTTTCAAGGGCAGCAACTCTGTTCTGTCGTGGCTTCCACCTTCAGGAAAGATACCAACGCAGCCGCCACTCTGGAGCCTTTCAAACACAGCATCATACACCACCGACTGATCAACCTTCGGCGCAGTCTTATAGCTTGTTCCCTGGAAACCCTGTTTCTCTTCATCGCTGGTCTCCACCTTTTTCTCTCCGCCATCGACTTTAGTTTTCCCCGTAAGCTGCTCGATTGCCGTATCACCCTTGAATCCCTTTTTCAATTTGATCTCCTCATTCCCGTGTATCTCCAAAATGTCTGAGTTAGCCGCAGTACCATTCACAGACGGCAAAACCAAAAGCCCTCCAATCTGGCATTCCTCTTCAAACTGCGTGCCAACTCCTCGTACCAACGTAGGATCATTCTCTGCGTCCGGAAGGTATATCTTGCCCGTGCCGGGCTTCGTGCTATCTAACGCTCTTCCTACGGGAACCGCCCCTGCTGCTCTGGCTAGGCCGCCAATAAATTTTCTTCTCATGGATTTCTCGGCAATAAGCCAGGCTATGCGGCGACCAGCTTCCATTTTAATTACTCGCATCAGGATGAGGGGGTCGACGAACTGCTATAGTCAGAGCGTGTCCCTAAGACAGCATGCAGCCTGCTCACCTGGTTCGCATGAGGGGCCGCAACGAAGATGACGGGCCCTCGTCTCGGCACCTTCCATGACCCTCGTGGATGGACTTCTCTGAAGAAGAGATCAACCAGAACAGACATCACCCATAGTATCAGGTCGTATACCCAATTGACCATGGGCACGAGGTCCTTTTTCCTTGCCATGTTGGCACTTTGGTCTCTTTCCTATCTTGCTGGATCTTCTTCGTAATGGCCTAGTTCGCAGAGAATACGGTGCATCGAGCGAGTGCGATTGCTGTAGATGCGCTAGAAAGTCGGTAAAGTGAAGGCAGTCAAGTCTTCGAGGACGCGGTATATACAGCAGGCAGCGTTTCTCTAGAGCTGGTCACGGAATAGTGACCGCTGGAGAAAATACTGAAGACTTTGCAAACCTAATGACCCTTGAACGAACGGGCTAGGCAGCGCTTCGGTAAAGTTCAGGCGTTTTGGCTGAGATTCGCTACCTGGGCGTTGACTGGCTTTTGAACGATGCTTTCTCACTGCACTCGTATCAACTAGAAGAACGCACTCCTAGATTGATGGTATGAGGCGAAAGGCCAGCATGTGCCGCGCTGGTGACTCGTAGAATCCAGAATCGATGAGTTGCCTGGTAGGAGAACAGGTGGAGCAAAAATCCCCGACTCCGCGTGGGGTAGAGAAAACGTCACAGTGCATATGTGGAACGGACGGAAAGCACACGACACTGCTCTAGACGTAATAGCAACGTGAATGTCGGGTCTATTACGAAGACTAATTTTTAATCAAGTTCCGATGAAGCGAGACCATGTCTGTACAGGTATTGTATCCTCTATGCTACATAGATCAAGGCGCCCAGTTCATTATCCTTCATCCGCATCTTCCTCCAATAGCAACTTAAAACTAAAAGGCTCGAAAGCAATCCCGTCTCCCATGAAGTGCTTGCTCATCGCCTCGACCCAATGTAATCGTAAGCTATGCAACATGGCACTTGTACCCTCCATGACGCAGAGAATGGCGATGGTCAGGAAGAACCAAACATAGAAGAAGACGACGGTCATGATCACTCCCAGGACCCCTTCGAAATTAAACGCCTGGCCAAGTGTCATATTCCATAATACGACGGAGAGCTGCTGATGGGCGAGTGACAAGGCCCACAAACGGAGGTAGGACGCGGTGTGGGATACACAGTTCAGGCAGAATTCGATGGTGTGGATCGTTTGATGGATCATCACTTCCGAGAACTCGAACTCCTCGTGTTCCTCATCGCCGATATCCTCAGTGATCATTGCATTGGCCTCATGATCCGATCCCATGCTGTCTCGGCCGCCGTTCATAGCATGCCCATCCGCATCGTCATCGTCCAGAGCGCTGAATCTTGATGTTTCGCCAATGCCTCGGTATCCCAGTGCGCGAGCCCTGTTGTGCTCATATCGCAGATACAATGGCTTTAGCAGGAGTAGGACTGGTACGCAGGCAACGGCAACTAGTAGTAATATTACCTGAACAACCATCTGTCCCGGATAAAGCTGCTCATCTACCGTCAACGGCTGGAGGAACATGTATATAAGCATGTTCAGTAGCCCAGGTGGCGATTCGCCAATTGCGTACCAGTCTATGCACCACTTATAGACGATTGTGAAGACAAGATACCCGAAAATGGATTGGAAGAAAATCATGCCAGGCACGAAGTTACCCCAAATGTCGATCGGTGTCTTAAAATGACGCGCGTTGATAAAGGAGAGGCATAGAGAGTAGGTCATCTAAGCAAGTCAGCATCACTACTCCGTAACTCATACAAATATAACATACGTGAGTCCAGCCCATTAGTATACTGAGCTTCATTTTGAAGCTGTTGGAGAAGAGTAATTCGTTTTCGGTTCCATGCCAGCTCCAGTCAAGTCCAAATGGGTACCTGTAGCCGCCCTTAAGCTGAGCCCGCACAGTCTCCCCCTCCTTGAAGTCATGTGGCCATTCCCACTGGCTCGGAAAAAGCGTGAGCGCCTTCGAGAAGACATCGTTGTAAATAAGTCCAGTATATATCGAAAAAAGGCCCATCATCAGCATGATATACCGTCCGTAGAAAGCCATAGCCACAAGCTCGTTGAGCTTAGTCTTCGACATGGGCTTTTCAAAATATATCATGGCAAGGGCAGCGACGAACATCAACGTCCCGTGGCCAAAGTCTCCGAACATAACAGCGAACAGGAAAGGAAAGGTTACGATAGTTGGCAGGCCCGGGTTGACTTCCGTATATTTGGCTGTTCCGTAAGCATCGATAATTGTCTGAAAAGCCTCCGTAAATTTATTCCTCTTGTTGTATGTGGGAGGTGTTTTTGAAGTCTTGATCACGTTGACAATCGTTGGAACTGATAATCCTGCCCGGTCGTTGACGTCCTGTAAAGTGGATTTGATCAAGGATAAACCGTTCGTCGGACACCAGGCCTCGGCGATCAGAGTCTTCCTGGCTTGATCGTATGAGCAGCGGTTGAGTGTTTGATATACGGCCTTCTCCTTCTTAATGACAACCATCCAGGCAGCCAAGCTTCTGGCAATTTGTGTGAGCTCTGCATCAAGAGTGTTCTTCGTATTGCGGAGAACGCTCGCCAGATCGCTCAACCGGGTATTGACTTCGTGTATTTGATCTCGTCGAAGCTCGCTATTTTCATCCACGCTGTATAGATCGGCGCCTAGTGATTCTGATATCTTGCGGATCTTTGCAATGACTTCCTTGCCATGTGCGAAAATGACAAAGACGTTCTTGTGAACCTCTTCGTTGTTGACCGGGTCGATGAGGGGCTTGGGTATCTCGGATTGGTTCATGTATAGATTCCCACGTAGCGTTCTCCATAGGATGCGTTCAAAAGCGGCTATTCTGCCTCGTGGTATTACCCCAGCAACGAAGCCAATGTTCATCACAGAAAGTGATGGTCCACCAGAGGCATCTCCATTTTGACCTCTTGCTTGCTGTTCAACATCCTGTAACAGTGGTGCTTCGTCATTGTCGCTAGATTGGCGGATCTCGTCAACGTTGCCATGGGCCTTGAAAGCCTATCAGCTTGAGCGACAGTCTCGAAGATATATAATCGAGGCGACCTACCCTGTCAAAAAAACCACCTGCTTCCGTCAAGACCCAGCGCCACTCTGTAAGCTCCACCTCCCTTTTCTTGAGCGTCTCGTAGCTGTCATTAAGAGATGCCACTCGCTGCTCAAGGCTTTCACTCTTATCGGAGAGCTCGTCAATTTCAGAAGCTGAAGGGGCTGCAAGCATATTTGAGAATTCATGCCGCGGTCTGATAGGTATTGACTCTTTGTTGATTTGGGATTGGAAGTAGCGGAGCTGTCGCTCGACATTGTCGAGTCTTCGAATCTCCTGAGTGAAGGTCCTTTGGAAAGCTGTAGTCTCCGAGTTCAACTATCAGAGATAGAATGTCAGCAAGCTCGACATGCCAGGGCTGTCCCAAAAACGTCACTTGGAAATCACTAAGGAGACTGCCGTTCGAGGGTTCGCCCCGTCCTCAAGGCCCCAAGATTTGCAGCCTACTGCCCAGGTCTAGCACCGGGAAGAGGCAATACGTACATCTCGGAACTGAACCTCGCCCACTTCCCCCAGAGCACTGACGACCTCTCGACCAATCTCGTTCGCAATGTAGAGCTGGGTCAAGGACATGTCGCAGGAGCGGAAGAGGGAATCCTTGGGGACCGCCATGATGCGAGAGGTTTGGATTGTCTATCCACGAAGGGCTCAACTGGAGAAACGCCTTGGACGCAATGCGGTGGTTCCTTCTCAAATGGCCCGATCCTAAAGCGAGGATTGCAGATCTCGAGGTATGGCTGTGATGATTGCTTGATGTCTTGCTTGGGCGGAGAACAGTTGAATGATGGCAAAGACTCGGAAGATAAGACCGAGAAACGCTTACTCGATGCGGATTAGCATGCCAAGCCTTGCATCCTCATCCTCTCTTGAAATCCCTTCCTCAAGGATAGTAAGGTAGTGTACTAATCATCTAATCAATGAACCCCAACATTGTGCCTTGCGAGGTAAGTCGATCAATTCTGCTATACACACTGGGTTGGTCATTTCTCTTCTTCCCATTCTCCGAGTCTAGTTGTATGTCCGTTACGCTGTATGTTTGTTCATCTATTCAGCTATGCTGCTCCTTTGCTTTCCTATGGAAGCACCCCATAATTTCGAAAAACTATTTGGCGCTCAATACACGCCGGAACATCTGACGCTTCCTTGGCTGGTAATTTGGCAGTCGAACAAATTCTCGCTATCTCAGTCGCTATCAGGACCCGTCCGTGAGATGACCAGGCCGAGTCAATGTATTCGGATTTAAGGACTTTTCTTTTCGTGCTCGAATGTGGGATGTGAGCTTTTGATCTTCCCGGTTCGGTAGCTGTAGAGAGGAAGCACAGGTCCAACGAGCGCATGGAGTGACAGTGGCATTGGTTCAAAACCCTTATGCTGCAAATCTCTAACCATGTCATCCAGAACGCCGGCGCTCGAACATCTCTAGATTCCTAGGAAATCCTAACGCACCGCCTCCAAAATAGATCCATTACCCATCCCGACAACGGAAGTGTTCCCAATCTCCAACGACGGTATTACCTTGTCTACCTCACTCAAAGAGCTCATTTCTCTAGCATACCGATCCCATCTACTTCCTGTCCCCCAAATCGCAATGCCGATCCCATGTTCTCTCCCCAAAACCGCATAACCGCACCCATTTCCACAAGTCGCCCTCACGTATTCCGCCGGCTCAATCATGTCCTTCCAAGTACTCGAATCTTTGTCACGCCACTTTCCAATCACGGAGTCCGGCAGTCCAGGAAATTGGCCTATACTACTTCGCTCAAACATCTTCATCATGACAATCGCAACCACGCAGTCCCCAACTACATAACGTTTAGGAAGGGTAAGGAGAGAACGCGCCCCAGGGAAGTAGGCGGTGGAGCGTCCGCCAGGGTTGTATGTGAAAGTGCCTGGATGGAGGCCCCAGGTCGAGGAGTCGTCGGAGAGGGCGACGAGGGCGTTTTCGCAGGATGAGGCGATGTGCACGGTGCGAGGGTTCCACGTTGGATCGGACACGCAGTGACGGTATGACCATAACCCGAAGAGGTCCGTGAGGTTGGTGGGAACCGTGAGGGAGAGAGATGGAGTGAGAGCAAGAGATTGAGTGTGGAGGATGAACAGGCTGATGAGAAATGAAAGTATCGCACAAAGAGATGATTCACTTGTACGTACAGCCTTCATCTTGGCTTTGGAACAGAAAATACATCATTCCACCTGATCAAAATATGCAGTGATCGGACTGCGCTCGGAACACACTACATGATCGGAAATATGATATGCGGGAATATGTACGTGACAGATGTGTCGCTAATATGCGATAACAGATCGGGCGCATAGACTCAAACAATACTGAAACCGGACAAAGGCAGATAAGGAGACTCTGAGTAGCCTCAACCGTTTTGTGTCAAAGCTGTCGCCCGGTACTGCGCTTTTATGAGAGGTCGTTGCGCATTGAACTGGAGAGGCACCGCGTTGGTGGAGGAAAAAGATATTCTCGAGCCGCGGTCCACTGCGCAGTCTGGGGCTCGAGCACCAGTGGATAAACAGAAGCATGCTGCTATCAACGTCATAACAAGGTCGCTGGAACTAAGTAGGGAGGAATCAGTCACCCTCGCCCGCCCTTGTCACAAGCCTGTCAGTCCTCAGACTGTTCATGCGAACAAGTACCGCGCTGAACATGCAACAACGCGCATATCGTCTTAGTGGAGGGGTGAAGTGTATACAGATTGAAACCGCCTGAAATTCTGAAACGTGAGAAATCTTCAGGTTGGAACAGTGAGACCTCGAGGCATTGAGTTCCGCGTTTAACATGACCCCCCCAGCGCCAGTCCTATCAAACCAGGAAATCACTGTGGTATCTGTCCATGGAGACTCCCATTTCTGGACGGCGTAGGAACTTCGAACATATTTCCTTCTGAGTGTCCCACTCACGGTGCTGTGGATTCAGCTCGAGAAGAAAGCGAGGCCGAGGAAGAGCTTGCACAGCGTTTCTCTACAGCTTCGATGCAGTCAGACACTTGAGGTGCTCGGAAGAAGAGAAGTCTTGATGGGATATCTATTTGGAAGCGTTGACGTGTCAGTTGGTAGCAGGGCCATGGCCTGTAGTGGGACGCTGGCTGGGTTTGCAGTAGCAATTTCGGTCGATTGCTGAAATCAGGTCAAAGGACCGCCTATAAGAATGTCGATGTGCATTGAGCTCTGCATCGAAGACGAAGAGCATCGGAGTTCTGTTCTGGGTTATGTCTGCAAATGCCTATGGTTAGGTGGCTTCAATGAAAACGAGAATCGAAGCAGTAGAGCCTGAGTCCCTCAAAAAGCTACGCTCTCACTTTAAACAGCATAGACGTTTCTTTTGCAGCTGAACCTTTTTCCTTGAATGCGATTTGCTAAACCACTCGTGCGAAGAATCTTAAAGGAGCAGACAAAGCGCAATGCGAGGTGCCCGAGCAAGAATCGAAATATTCACTATCCATCTTTTTCCATGTCTGACATCGCACCCGTCGTAATAACAAGGTCACCCTACCATCCATATTGGGTACCTGGCTTGCTTGATGCGATGTCGAAGTAGGTCTATAGACCTAGCAGGGCATCCGCAGCTTTCTTCATTCTGGCTTGGAGTTCTTCGCACTTGCTGCAAGATGCCCGGATTTCCACGGACTGGAAGTCTGGGGCGTGGACAGTCGCGTGACTCTGAATAGATGCTGGCTGTGTGGTAAGAGTTGAGGGCCTTCCAAGGGCCGTCTTTTTAATCGCAGCTTCGAACGTCTTGCAGCCTGGGAACGATCAGAGACATTTTCTGCGTCATTAGCAAACAGGCGACTTACCTCTTACAGCTTCTAGAACCTCATTCATAACCTCATCCTTATCCGCCTCATCGATTTCATTCCCGTACGTGTTGCACATCTCTACAAGATGCTTGGTGGCTCCGATCACGTACTGTTTAGCAACTTGTCGCTCCTGCTCTTTTTGAGTCAAGCCACCAAGATGCTGCTGGACGTCCTGGGAAAAATCAGAGCTGGCGGACTCAGATCCATTGTGGAGGAAATCTTGTTGTTTCGGAGAAGTGGTCTTTGCCTGGTCAGAGCCTCCGTTAAGAAGACTATTTTCCTTCACATTTCCGTCTTTCAGATTGGGCGAAGATTGTGGTACCATTCTCACAACTTTGGAGCTCTCTTTCGCACTTTGCGATCGATACATCGCTACTTCTCGAGCGCATTGCTCTTCAGTCAGTCCTATGCAAAGAGGTTGAATGTTTCGAGATCGTTCGGACTCTCGAGTGTTAGAGAAGCTGGGGGTATTCAAACCTTGGGTGGTGGATCCGCTGGGCAAGATACTGCCAGCTTTCGACATCGCTGTTGCTGGCTGATGGCCAGCACCTTTTGCTGGAAGGGAAGTGACAGTTTGTGGGAGACGTGGAGCCTCTTTGATAGGATCCTTGAGGTCGTAAGAAATCCAGGACTTTGCCTCGGAAGCTGCCTTGCTCTGCACTTCTTCCTCGTCACAATTCCAGCATTTCCCATGTTTAGCGATATCTTGAGCTTTGCAGTAAGACCCAATGGCTTCGTTACAGCATTTTGTGTAGACCATTTGATCTTCCCGGGAGTACACCGCACCGCAGATCCAGCAGTTCTATTGAAGGGCATTGTCAGCACCATTTGCACTACGTCTGATAACCCATTTTAAGATTCTGACCAAAACTCGAGTGGCTTACTGTCTCCGCAACCTTCTCGGATTCCATCGACCGCTGATTTTGAAGAGCTGCAGAAAGGCCACTTGCTCTGTTGCACATGTAGTCTCGGGGAAATTTCGTTTTCCTCGCGTCTCCTGGCTGGCTAAGGTTGGGTTTTTCTGATTGCATGTCCGAAAATGCGTAGATTAGCAAAGTGCTCGACATGGTGGTGGTAGTAAAGTAAAATTGTAAGTGAAGGTCGGAGCAAATCCGGACGAGATCTCGGTAAACAAAGGTGTGAGGATGACGCGAGATACTTTATCCATCTCACTTCAACTATCCCATTGCGAAGTTTTATTCCAAAATTCTGCATCAAAAAACGGTACAGTGCCTGGATGTTCTACCTCAGTATTGCCAGACTAATTGATGATGCTGAATTAGACTTCGTCAAAAGGAGTGCTCCACAGAGTCACAATTCGCCACAAAACTTTGGTCAGTTTACCTTATCTGAGTGCCCCGACTTGGTATGCCAGCCAATCTCCTTCAATGTAAAGTATTGCGTGATGAAGCTTTTTCTGACAATCGGCAGTTCGTGCGGAACAAGTCGTTAGCAGAGAAGATCATGGAGACAAGCAGCGCAGAAACCGAAGCTCATGCCACGCTCACACTCGAAGAAGAGATTCATTGCCACAAAGCCCGCATCTTCAGCCTATTCACCGACGCTCCCGTTGTTCGAGCCTGGAAAAACGCCATCTGTGACGGTGCAGTGTACCTTGGCCAGGGTTTCTTCCCGAAGTCATATGCAGATCGATACTTCCAAACGTCGAGAGAGGATATCAGCTACGTGACCTTTAGCATAGTTACTGCATTCAAGGAGGACGGAATGGATGCTGAGGGAGAAAAGATCGAGGGCTCTCAGTGCCACATATCGCCAGCACAACGTGAAGCTTCCGACTTCTTGATTGTTACCTTTTCCAACGATCACGACCTAATCGCACTGCTTCCCCATAGATTATACTGGCCAGTCGAAGGGGGCGAGAGCACTGGCAAAGACGAGTATTTTCCTGATGAAATACCAGCCTCAACTTTATTTGCATACAGCTTCTCTACCAAACTTCTGCTAGCACACATTGACGAGGTCAAGCGAAGCGCCAACCGTCCTATGCACCCCACCACCACTCCATTCCAAATCGGGTTGGATGGACGAATCCCAAGGGCCGACACTCCTGCGGCCATTATGCCTGGAGTATCAGGAACACAACTGACAGAATCTGACCGATCAATACAGGCTTCCGAAAAAGAAGAGGAAAAAGCACTGCGAATCATCCACGAGAAATTTCCCATGTGGAGATCGTCTATGAACATCGACTTCTTGGACTACCAACCACTGCTGCGAGACTTCAGAATCGTCATCTCCAGGTGCTCAGAGTTCCCAAACGGTCTTGAAGCTGTCATCAGCCACAGTATTGTGGGCAAACCCAAGAACGGCGACAACGGCCATCACCTCAGATATGCTGATTATTTTCTCACGCACTCTATCACCTTGGACCCGAACTACGCTTTTTTCATTCCGCGTCGACTAATTCCCGAGGTCTGGTTTACGTCGCCACGCCCACGTGAATCTATGCCGAGAGAGCTCAGCGACTCTGGTCGCCGTATTAGCAACAAAAAATTTATCCTCGAGATGGATAACGCAGGAAGATGGGCCAAGGACGTCTGGGACATTATCAGCAAATATCCACCAGGCGAACATCCCACTCCTGCAAAAGAAAAGGAAGAAAACTTGAAGAAGGCGTTCCCATGGCCAGAGAGAGAAGCGCAGTTCACGTTTGAAAAAGATTCAACGCCAACTAAAACCCGAAGAGACAGAGAGCATCTGTTTTCTCAGCACGATACTGGACCGGGTGAAGATGGTGCAGTGCAGCCCAGCGATGTCTCCCTTCTCGCAGAACACTACTTCGAGAAGGCGTCATTGGACCAGAAGGAGGCTGAAGATGATGCTACCTGATCTTCGGACGATCGGGACATTTGTCAAATTGCTGGAATTGTGAACTCCGTAGTGCTGGTGCTACCGCATAATCAAAGATGGCTCCGTAGGCTACGTTTCAAGTGTCTATCATTTTTGTGCCAATGATCCAAATATTCAGGACCGCAGGGTTCTGATTTCATCTGCTAAAGCATACTTACAGCATATTGTGCATAGATAAGAGCTCCGATGGCTTGGCGCCGTGGAGCGGATTCGTTGGTAGCAGACGTTCATGTACGAGTATTCAGTTCAGCACTTACGACATCTTAGCTCTAGCAAATGCAAATCTACTCACAGTTTCGTTAGAGCCCATGCTGTGTTTCCCATCTCATGTGCAACCGCAACACCCAATCCCAGGATCTCCGCCAACCGCCAGCCTTCCATGTTGCCCATTTCAGAGTCTCTCCCGTGAACATCAAACCAGATCACCTCCCTGTATCCACGCCATTGCCCGTTTCTGAACACGTGTTGGCGGGGTATATGCCTCAAGATCGAGTGTCTTTCCCACGATAGATGCGACATCGAACATCATTCTTCCGTTTCGTATCATCGCAGATAAACCCCACCAATGTCACCCTAGATAAGCGCGAAAACATAGTTCTATAATGGACCCTCAATGTTCCCATAAGCGCCGTCGGGATCCAAACTGGTTCCGAAGATTGTTGACCTGACAATGGCAGGGATGTCAAGAAGTTCGAGGGCCATAAAAGAAAGCATTCCTGAGACCTGGTTGCCACACATTGAAGTCGATGCTTTCTCCAAGGGGAAGATCTGTGTTCTTTGTCATCTCAGCAAAGTCATTCTTCGCAAATTGGCCCAGAGCGTCACTCACCTACCCTCTCCATAAGAATTGATAGTCCAAAAAACCACCATGCTTTCGCTCGGCCCCTCAGACCTGACGACCCTCTCAACCCTTCTTTGTCCTAGCCTTTACTCATAATGTTGTCAAACAAAATGAGCAGCACACCAACACCATGACCATAGAATCCCGTTATTCATCGCAACCCTTATCGGACCACACGCGCATGAAATTTCCGAAATCGAATGTTCCCACGATGATACGATATCATTGAAGGCTGTCAACCTTCCTCCTTCCAACGCGCATAAATCCTCTCCCATCCGCATCGCCGCCGTAGAATTACGCGAACTCTAGATTAGACGCACGGTCCCCGCTGACGCCAAATGGCAAACTACCGAACACATGCTTCCAGTGGGTTTCGGTAAACTGCGAATCCTATTTGAGAGTGCGAAGGAAGATGTAAGGTACCTCTTGATTTCACTTCCTGTTCTCGGCCGGCTTGGCAACTACTCGGCCGAGTACGCTTGGCTGTTCTTGGCAATCTTTCACGAGATCAACTGCGATTCGCGCTTTCTTTTCATTCCAACCTCTTCATATGCTGACTATTATTTCTATCAATCGTACGTGGTCTTAATTCAGCGGCATCTTGATGTTATGGCGTCTGGGATCAAATCAAACGGTCGAGGCTCTGTCCGATTAGTACTTTCCTACATCATCGACTGGATCATAATAATGTAAGCAGTCAAGCGTCCTGCAAACATGATGAATCACTGAAATCACAAGCTGACATTGCCGTAGAGCAATTGCAGCAGTCGGCGCTGGATTCTCGGTCGTCACGCCCAATAAGAGACCCTTCGATGTCACTGATGCAGACATCTCCTTCCCATATGTCACAAAGGAAAAGGTCTCAACAGGCCTGCTGGTAGCCATCGGGCTTGTCGTTCCAGCCATTATTACGTTCATCGTATGCCTCGCGGTCGTACCAGGTCCCGCATTTGAGAGTGCTTCCCGTTCGAAGATTTGGAAACGCAAGGTATGGGAATGGAACGCTGCATGGATGGGCCTTGGGCTCTCGCTGGCTATTGCTTTCATGATCACATCTGGCACGAAGAACTTGGTTGGAAAGCCAAGGCCTAATATGCTTGCTCGATGTGACCCGGATCTGTCGCGACTCCTGAATAGCACGGTCGGGGGAATTGGTAATCAGGTCGATGAAGGAATCAACCTCGTCTCTTGGACCATCTGCCGTAATTCTGGTTCGACATTGGATGACGGGTTCAGAAGCTTTCCTAGCGGTCATTCGTCATGTGAGTTGGTAGATGAACCGGGTTCAGGCCTCTAATCATCAGCTGACATCTCTCCTCATAGTCTCCTTCGCCGGCTTGACATATTTCGCCTTGTTCCTCTGTGCTAAATTGGCAGTCACTATACCCTTCCTCAACTACCAAGACATAGACAGGAACAAGCAGCATGTTAAGCCTCGCAAGCAAGCAGCTGCGCCGCCTACCTATCTCATTATCTTCCCGCTTGTATCCATCAGTGCCGCAATCTACATCTCTTCGACACGGTATTCCGACTTCATGCATCACGGCTTCGATATCATCTCTGGTGCAATCCTGGGTATCGTTAGCGCATGGCTTGGCTTCCGCTGGTATCACCTTCCAATCAGCCGAGGTGGAGGCTGGGCATGGGCGCCTCGAAGCTCTGATCGATCTTTTCGCAGAGGGATTGGGCTTGTGACCTACGCCAGCGACGAGAAATCATACGATCGGAACGGGACAGATCTCGAGTGTGGGCCCGGCGGTGAAGCGGTATCTGACGGTAATGGAACCGTACGGCCATATAAGACCAGCGAGGGCAGCGAAGGCATCGCGCTAACGGATCTGGATCATGTTCAACCACCCGGAGTAGGCGACTCAAGTAGGAGGTCGTTTCAGTAGAACGAATGCACTCTCTGCGTTCTCAAGTATACTAATATATAGTCATCGTAAAATTGGAGCTGCCTGAGTACTTTGATAACGGCTCAGCATCTGGCACGCATAATATTCATTTCGTCAAAGGTGCGTTTTGCAATCAGAGGTTGGGAAACCGACTGCAGGCCCCTAGAGTTGTATATTGCAAGCCCCACGTCAATTGATGCATTGACGACACTGGGCCAACAAGTCTGCGCGTTGAGCAGATCGAGAGCAGACTATGTCCGTCACTTGTATAAGATCGGTACCATCCGTCCATTCACACTTTTGAGTCCTGAGGCTTGGGGGCTTGTTTGGCATGTTGAGGATACGAGGCGCTCGGAAGGCTGAGTCATGAGCCACAGGGTAAAGTCTCGAAAATCTGGCGTACCTGAATCCACGCCCCGCCCGGCCTGCATATGTTTTTCCTATGCAGCCGAGGGGGTCTCCACCATCTCTGTTGGTTTCATGATCGGTGCGATAGTATCAAAAGGCGCACCCAGGCGACCGGCGAATTCGTGAGGGGTTGTCAATGGAATCTGATGGAAGCAACGGCTTGATGTTCCGTAAAATATCGAATATATAACTGACAGAAGCATACCCGGGTGCATGTATGCTTCGATCCTCATGGTCAGTCTAGTCAAATTGCCCTACCCCTGATAAGAAATACGGCATACCCCTCGGCCGATGATCTTTTCGCCTCCAGTAGGCCTTCCCAACAACAGGTGATAAGCGCAGTCACTTATTGACCGGGTATACCAATCTCTTTCGCATACATCGCCCCGTTGACCAGCACCATGAAAGGCCCACCTGCTGGCGTCAATCGCCCCAAGGAATCCGCAGAAGGACTTGCAGAGCAGCAACGTCGAAGGCCGCGAGACCGAGCAACCGCTGAGCAGTCAGCGACATCAACAGCTGAACCCTCTCGTAGCCAGTTGGGCTTGCGAATGGGTCCGGATGGCCTACTGAGAGTCGACCTTTTAAGGGTCCAGCCTCAATCGTAGGATTTTGTCACTGAATGAGAGACGAGTGTTGGGCTCACGAATATATTGACATTCTAATTCAAAGTCGCAGAGCAAGTATATGAGAATGCAGGACATTTGAAAGCGGGAAATAGCCCCGGTTGCGACGGGCAGTCGGCCTGGGATCGCCCGGAGCAAGATCGCTTGGCGGATTTCAAATCGCAAATGGCCATTCCCACGGGACGTCCGTACGCCGGGATGTCATACCCAGAACAACGAGGAAGCCATACGGCCACGCTTACCTCAGCTTCTGTGTTGGCGCTCGCCGAGACGCCCAAGGATAAGCTGTTCACGGAGCTCTGGCCTGCTTGTAGCGAGAAGGTCTATCCGGGTGCGCTCAACATGGATGCGATTGATAGCAGTGTTTTGTGCGCTTTGGCTACGGCTCTTGATGATCGGATAGAAGTGTAGGGTCTTGGGGTGATTGGGAGTGTTGCGCTTGTCCAGTACGAAGTCGCGAATTTGGAGGAGATGGAAGGACGTCAGTCCTCAGATGGGGTCGTCTTGGGATGTTCCACTCACATTCGTGTCTATAGAACTCTTGCTTGCTTTCCACGAGGGTCTAATTTCATGGAGTGCGAAGGCCTCACGTTAATCTGGTTCTGACGGCATTTTCATGGTTGCATATTTAAGATACATACGGTAATGAGTGAGCGATTCGTGAGTAACTAGTCGCTTGTTACAGGCGTGGGAAAGGGCATGTTCAAGTTCCCTACATGAGCTGTCAGGTAAAAGTTTGATGCCGACAGAAATACCAGCAATCCTGTGAGGGGGAAATGCCAGGTCCTGAGAGGGGTTACTATACATTTCTCATGTCTTGTCTTGCCAAGACTTCTGCGCCCAAGATTTGATTAAATGCCCCATTTGAAGGTCTGCATACGAGTCGATTAGAGGTGCTTTCGGAAGTGAAGCTCATAACTCAAGTCGGTCTCAATGGTTGGGGACTGTCTGTGTAGGTGGAGCAAGTCCCATCAATAAGGAGACTGCATTAAGCCTGAATCGTAGGAGACTAGGGCCAAAACATCTTGGGAGACCATAAGACGGCGACAGCGAGATCGTGAGAGGTCTATCGAAGTATGATTCGTATTGCTAGTAGATCATAAATTCTTCCTATGCGCTATCCAATGGATGGTCTTCGTACACGTAATGTAGCTTTCCCTTGAACTCCTGAAACAACAGACTCTCAAAATGGGGCGACCACACCGCAATGAAGTCTTCCCATTGTCCTTGTGTCAATTGCATTCTCCCTTGCCGCGTCATTACGTCGAGCTTGTCGCGCGCAATTTCCGCACCTTTCATTCGAAGTTTCGACTCCCTACAGTCATCGACCCAATCCTGAAATACCGCTCGCTCTTCGTCTTCTTCAGTGTATGTTTCCTCAACGATCGGAATGCGTCCCATGATCATGGCATTAACGGATCGGAGCCGGGTACGGACGTGCTCGGTGGTCTCGCCAGGTTTCAAACCATGGGGGAGGTAAAAACGGGCGCTCGCAGCGCTGATACGGGCGAATAGGTCCATGATGTAAGTTACATCATTGCACCATCCCAAAGGTTCCGTGTCATAGCCACCCGAGTCCAGGAGGTCAAGGGCGTTGCCATTATGAGTCCATGAAGCCATTTCGTTGTCAGCAAAGAGGAAAGAGATTCGCTGCAGCAGAGGTACAGCACGTAGCTCCGCCCGGAGATTTCGAAGATGCCTCCAAATATCAATCGCATCTGTCGGGCGATCAGGGTGGGGGGGCCATATCTCTACGACAAGATGAGGTATGCTGCCGTAGTCTCTTGAACATTGCTGTGCGATGAAACAGGTCTCTGCCACACTACCAAATTGAATGCCCTGATGGGTGACCCGGAGAAAAATCGGCCATGTTTGGACCAGATCGAGGACTTCAGTACGGACTTGGCTATTGACTAGTAGCAGCGGAGAAGGAGGGTCCCTCGAACCATCGGGTAATTTTTTTAGGTAAATGGCTTTCGGAGAAGGATTTCGAGTGGCCATAAGGTTGTGCCGGTAGATTTTGCGGCGCAGTTCAAGGGGAAGTTGTCGCAGTGGGAAAGGCTCTGATGCTTTCAGGTCCTGATCACTGATCGTTGCTTCCATGGCCGTGTCGGAAGAGACAACGTCTTTTGATGTCGTTATCAAGCTGAATCGATGTGAAAACGGCTGTTGTGCTACTTAGTTTCACGAGGAAAAGCGAAATACTAGGAAATGCGAAATCTTAAATCCAGTAAATCCGACAAAGATGGCTACCACTACCTTATCATTTATTCAAATAGCCTACTTTTAGATTTTATTATAAAGGCCAATACTACGGAATCATAGTCGCCGTCTATAGGCCTAGTATCGTAGATTTAAATAGACTATATATTATCAAATAGCGGATATTATCGAGTATATACGAACAAGGTCTAAAAAAGAATAAATTAAATTCTTGGATATAGAAGCCTAAATAGCAAGGAAGAACCAGACTTATTCATCCGTATTATGCGAAGTTGTCATAGAATTTTAGTAAGGAGTAGACATTTGAATATTGAATCGGACTTATCGCATTTAAGATTTCGCATTTTCTAGTATTTCGCGTTTCCTTATTCTATAATAGTCGAGATATTAAATATATAAAAGAGATAATAATATTATAATAAAAATGTATATTATACTAGAAGTTACTTTCATTGTCATATAAAAGAAGTAAGATTAGATTCGAAGCGAGTGTAGTCGGATCTTATCCATTGAAAGAAATAAGACTATCCCTTTCCCTATGTCCGGGACGTATACGCTAGCAGGGGTATAACGTAGGGATTATCATTTGTCCAATCAGTGCGGCTCTCTACGGCTCAGAAATTTGCTTACTCATGGGCGCGGCCTGAGTTGACCTAAAGTACATATCGATATCCCTAAGGTATAGGTATATTTGAACCTTGCTAGCGTGTACCTGTACGTCCCGGACACGGGGAAAGGGATAATAATAGGGGGTTTCAGACCACTTTTTTTTTTGCTGTGGAATCGTGGAATATTCAGACTTTCAGCTATGACGAAATGAATTGGTCTGAACACCCCCACTATCAAATAGGCTTCTTTGGTGGATTTGTGATAAATCCGCTTAGTCATTGCCCGAGAAAATCGTGTAATCTTCCCCGTACCTAATCCTTAGGGTTAGGGTTAGAAGGGGGGGGGGGGTGTCTGCGACGGCGTGGTAGGAAGGACGGTAGGAAAGACGTAGACGTGTGGGAGGTGATAGTAGTAGTGGTAAGAAGGAAGGCCTTCTAATTGGATAGATTTGCTAAGAGATGTAGAATATCGACACGAGAAATCCACCAAATAGGCCGATTTTCTTCACCAATGCTACCCCAGGGTAGCATTGGTGGATGGCGCAGTTGGTGGCAAATCGCTGAAGTTCCCACGACCTGAAAAATCCACGCTTAAAAAAAGTGGTCTGAAACTCCCTAATATACTGCGAGCGCAATCTGGATGGATTCTTTTCTGTCGGGGGATCGCGAAGTCTTTGAAGAATGGATATATTCTCTAAGCCATGTATGCAGTCAGTTTGTATGCCAGTACAACATAGCACGAGTTACGGCAAATCCTACGCTCAACCAACAACTTCTTTGCTCGTTCCCCCCCCCCCAAACATACACGCATCGATTACCTAGGTACTACCCGCCTTGATCTCACTCGCAATCTTCTCCGCCAACGCGTACACCGTCGACTGCGGATGTCCTGGCGGTAGGACCGCGAAGGCACTCGCGTCAACCACCCTCAGCCTCTTCGTGCCATAAACGCGCGTTTGCGTATCAACAACAGCCATCGGGTCGTTTGGCCTCCCCATCTTGCAAGTAGAAGCCGCGTGCCACACTGGCGACAGAGCCTGTCTTATGAAGTTTAGAATATCGGCGTCGCTCTGCACCTTCGGGCCGGGAAGATACTCCTCTCCGACCGTAATGTTGCTCATAAATTTCCACACTTCGCGGGATCTTTTGAACGCCGCAATCGCCAATTCCTGATCTGCGGGATGGGTCATCCAGTTGGGGTTGATGAGAGGCGGGTCGGTCATCTTGCTGCTTGATATGGAGACATTTCCGCGGCTGAGCGCTGCGATTAACACTGTAGACATTGTGGCGTAATTGTTTCCGTTCACCGGATCCCCTGCCGCAAAGTCGGCTGCGTAGCCGAGAACGGTGCCGATGGGGATAAACTCGATCTCGGGCCAGTCGGCAGGGAAGGTACTCAAAGCTTGCTGTGTCGCGGTTGAAAAGCCAGCACGGTCCGCTTGAGGAATCTTCTCCCATCCGAGGACTGGGACAATTGGATTTGTGAGGGGACCAGTTGCGTTTTCGTTATATTCTTGTACAGCCTCGGCCTCGAGTTCAGGGTGGTTCAACGCTGAGGAAGAGGTGGTCACGTCGACTTGGAACGAGGTGCCCCAGAAAACATGATCTTGCATATTTTGTCCGACCCCGGGGAGATCTTTGAGCACAGTGATACCGTGACTTTCGAGTGTCTCTCGTGGGCCGATGCCAGAGACCATGAGTAGTTGCGGCGATTGAAACCCTCCCGCAGAGAGGATCACTTCGTGTTTGGCATTTAGAGTGTAGATGGGACCGGACTCCTGCACATCGGTCCCCACTGAAGAGACAGTAACACCTTGAGCAGTGTTTTGTGGGCCATTGAAGATGATCCTTTGGGCCAGAGTGTTGTTGTAGATGAACAGGTTGGTAGGGCTTTTGGCCGATTGTAGAAAGCTTGCCTCTGAGCTAGACCGATGACCATTGACGGGATTCACGGTGAATGCCAGGTATGCGGACCCGATGAGCCTGCCTATTTGGAATCCAGCGATAGCAACCTCACCCGCAGCTTGCAATGCTTTTTGAGCCCAAGTTCCGAATGGGTCATCATATTTGCCAAAAGACACTTGGAGTGGTCCTCCAGAGGGATCAAAAGCACTGCTGTCCTGAACATTCGAGCTGTTCGGATAAGCAATACTTGGCGGTGTGTAGTGCACACTCTTCTTGTAAAAAGGCAGAAGGTTTGCAAAAGTGTAGCTTGAGTCGCTAACGTCGTCCGACCACCTCTGCATCGCTCCTACGGTCGGCCTGCAACGATTAGTAAAAGCGATCGATTCGATGCAGCTAACTTGCCGTTGATAGAACATGAAGTTACGGGCCGATGAGCCTCCTAGCGTCTTGCCTCGCGCATAGTGTAACTTTCGATTATTGCAGCCCTGCAAAAATGTCAATGATGTGGATCTAGCAGCGGCAAAAAAACATACCGCTTGAGGCTGTGTGAGAAATCCCCAATCCACCAGCGGGTTGGTGGTATTGGCGCCCGTGCCAGCGTAGAAGATGTCATATGCAGGCACGACACTGATATTGCCATCGTCGGCTTCGTAGAAACCTCCAGCTTCGATCACTGCAACGCTAATGGAAGGGTTCTCAGCTAGTCGCGTAGCTATGGCCAGTCCACCTGTGCCTCCGCCGATTACAACATAGTCGAAAGAAGCGTCGACCCCGCTTTTGCCGAAGGCGTAACCTGCACCTGAGGTTTCGGAGGTGCCTGTTTGTCTTCGGTCATGGAACGAAGCTGCCGACACGGCTGAAGCCCACGTGCAACACAGCAGGAGCTGGGAACACACTGCAGCATTGAGACTCCTCATTGGATTCGTACCCGTAACTAGTTGTTACTGTAATGAGACGATTTGCAGATGCGTCCGGGATATCGCGCCTGAGCAATATCTTGAACTTTTTCCTGCGGCAAGAAGATTCAAAAATTACGAAAGTAAAGCAGAGGCGACAACCTTTTTTCAAAAAGAGAAATAAGAACGAGAGAATCCGTCGAAAGACAGCAGCAAAGGGGCTATGATATATAAACCAAGGCTTATGCACAAGGATCGGAGGAATACCCATGCATGAGTCTGACCCACGCACTCATCCACCACTTGCAGAGCAGCAAATGTGAGAGAGCCACCCAACCTGCAGAACGCTGACATCCAGCTGAGTCTTCGTTTTTGTCTCCGGCTGGGAGATGTAGAAGGCTAGGCTAGAGCAATGCAACCTTAGCTGCGGGGAGTGCATCCAGGCTTGAAACCCATGGTCACAGGCACATGGCTCCTCCAAGGTTGAACTAGCGAGCCGCCCGAGCGAGAACAAGGGAAACGAAGCCTCGTACTTTCTGCGTAGAACGCTGACATCTCGGCACAGTCTTTGGAAGCCAACCATGGGAATGGGCGTCGGGATCATTAGTCGGCCGCAGGACCAAGTCAGCCATACAAACAGACCCGATTTCACTGCACAAACCCCATACGTCACATTTAATTTACATCATCACAGCATTATTGAAAACCTGTATTAGACTTGTTTTCGATGAGCGTCGCAAAGGATGCTACTGCGCGACTGGAATTGGCACTGTCAAATCCTCAAAAAGAAGAACAAAAAGAGAGAAAGAAAGAAAGAATTCCACGGAACGTTGCATGGATAATACGTTGTGGTTTTCGGTCTGGGATTTTGGAACTTCATTACTACAAAAGAGGGTGATTTGGAAAGATTGTAAAGGTGGATTGTGGGTGCCAAAATCGGGTTCGTCGTGTGGCTGCCTCGGCTGCCTGATCAGGCGTCGCAAAAAAGGATTTCAAAGCTTGGCATTGGCCGACGTACGGCCAGCGGCATTGCCAAGTCGTTGCACTACGCCTTTATCAATATAATATCTTTAAACAGATCGGGACAACGGCGCATCACCAACGGCCACTGAAAGCGATTCGAGCATACATACCTTACCGAGGTGGGCACCAAAACTCTTGCACGGCGCTAGTCATAGCCCTAACCCTACTCTCGGAAGACGACCATGTAGCAAAGGACCCAGGAACGATTTCCTTAAAGCGCATAGATTGAACTTTAGGCCTCTCTTATGGGCTTGCTAAGGGTAGAATGGCCCCAAAGAAGCTCAGGTCGGGTGCAATTCCGAGACAGCTCTAAGCACACTGTCCAGGTACCCCTTTAGGCGGGGCGTTATCCGATTCTTGGCGCAGGAGTCTCGGCATGTGCAGGACTTTTGGTGCCCACTTCCGTAGCATCGTGCCATATCCCTCACCGCAGAAATGCTTTGGTCGC